TCCACAGTGGCCATACCAATTTACAGCCCCACAAACAATGCACAAGATTTCCCTTTTCTCCACGTTCTTGCCAGCAGTTATCTCTCCTCGTTTTGATGACAGCCGTTCTAACAAAGAGCTGAACATGGCTAAGCAACCAACACTTTCATTCTAACAGGCATGAGGTGATACCTATTTGTGGGTCTGACTTGCACGTCCCTATGACTAGTGATGCTGACCATCTTTTCATGTACCTGTTAGCTGGAAAAGATGTCTCTTCAGGATTTTGCCCATTTTTAACTGGATTATTGGGAGTTTTACTATTGAGGTATATAAATTCTTTATATATTTTAGATATTAACCCCTTATCAGATATACAGCTTACAAATATCTTTCCCCATTCCACAGGTTATTTTTTCACTTTGTTTCTTTTGCTGTGCAGAAAATTTTTAGCTTTTTGTAGTCCCACTTGTTTTTTTATCTTGTAGCTCTGTTTTAGGTGTCATATCCAAAAAATCATTGCCAAGGCCCACATCAAGGAGCTCTTTTCCTAGGTTCTCTTCTGGAAGTTTCATGATTTCAGGTCTTACATTTAATTTTTGAATCCATTTCAAGTAAATTTTTGTGAGTGGTGTAAGACAGGGGTCTAGTTTCATGCTTTTACATGTGAATATCCAATTTTCCCAGCTTCATTTATCAAAGAGATTGTGTTTCCTCCATTAAGTATTCTTTTTTTTTCATTTATTTTTATTAGTTGGAGGCTAATTACTTTACAATATTGTAGTGGTTTTTGTCATACATTGACATGAATCAGCCATGGAGTTACATGTATTCCCCATCCCGGTCCCCCCTCCCACCTCCCTCTCCACCCGATCCCTCTGGGTCTTCCCAGTGCACCAGGCCCGGGCACTTGTCTCATGCATCCAACCTGGGCTGGTGATCTGTTTCACCCTTGATAATATACATGTTTCGATGCTGTTCTCTTGAAACATCCCACCCTCGCCTTCTCCCAGAGTCCACAAGTCTGTTCTATACATCTGTGTCTCTTTTTCTGTTTTGCATATAGGGTTATTGTTACCATCTTTCTAAATTCCAGATATATGTGTTAGTATACTGTAATGGTCTTCATCTTTCTGGCTTACTTCACTCTGTATAATGGGCTCCAGTTTCATCCATCTCATTAGAACTGATTCAAATGAATTCTTTTTAATGGCTGAGTAATATTCCATGGTGTATATGTACCACAGCTTCCTTATCCATTTGTCTGCTGATGGACATCTAGGTTGCTTCCATGTCCTGGCTATTATAAACAGTGCTGCGATGAACATTGGGGTGCACATGTCTCTTTCAAATCTGGTTTCCTCGGTGTGTATGCCCAGAAGTGGGATTGCTGGGTCATATGGCAGTTCTATTTCCATCTTTTTAAGAAATCTCCACACTGTTCTCCATAGTGGCTGTACTACTTTGCATTCCCACCAACAGTGTAAGAGAGTTCCCTTTTCTCCACACCCTCTCCAGCATTTATTGCTTGTAGACTTTTGGATAGCAGCCATCCTGACTGGCGTATAATGGTACCTCATTGTGGTTTTGATTTGCATTTCTCTGATAATGAGTGATGTTGAGCATCTTTTCATGTGTTTTTTTTAGCATTCTTGACTCTCTTATCAAATATTATCAAATATCTCTTATCAAATAGCGACTGTACTTGGGGCTTCCCAGGTGATGCTAGTGGTAAAGAACCCACGTGCCAGTGTAGGAGACATAAGAGATGTGGGTTCCATCCCAGGGTCAGGAAGATCCCCTGGAGGAAGACATGGCAACCCACTCCAATATTTTTGCCTGGAAAATCCCAAGGGCAGAGGAGCCTGGTGAACTTCAGTCCATAGGGTTGCAAAGAGTCAGACATGACTGAAGCAACTTAGCACACACATATATACTTGGGTTTATTTCTAGGGCCTCAATTCTGTTCCATTGGTCTATTTGTCTATTTTATTCTAGTATCATACTGTTTTGATTACTACAGCTTTGTAATACAGTTTGAAAGGAGGGAATATCACACCTCCAGCTTAGTTCTTCTTTCTCAGGGTTGTCTTGGTTATTCAGGGTTTCTATGGTTCCATATAAACTTTAATGTTTTTCTACTTCTATTAAAAAATAGTCATTGAAATCTTGATAGTGATGGCATTGAATCTATAGCTTTGATTAGTATTACATTCTAACTATATTCTTCCAATTTATGAATATTTATCTTATTTCTTTCTCAATTTCTTTCATCAATAAGCATCTTGTAGTTTTCAGAATAGAGATCTTATACCTCTTTAATATATCTTAGTATTTTATTGGTTTTGATGCTATTGTAAATGGTTTTTTATTTCATTTTCAGATAATTTGCTGTTAGCATATAGAAACACTACTGATTTTGTATGTTAATTTTGTATCCTACAATTTAGTGAAGTCGTGATCTAGTATTTTTTTGGTGGAGTCTTTATGATTTTCTGAATATAAAATCATGTTATCTACAAATAGAGACAATATTACATCTTACTTTATAATTCTGATGCCTTATATTTCTTTTCTCACCTAATCACCTCTGTTGAATAGGAGTGGTGAGAGTAGGAACCTTTGTCTTAATCTTAGAAAAAAACCTTTCAACATTTTATCACTGAGTATGAAATTAGCTGTGGGCTTATCATAAATGGCCTTTATTATGTTGAAGTACATTCCTAGTATTCCTAATTTGTCTAGAGTTTTTATCATGAATAAATACTGAATTTTGTCAAATGCTTTTCATGAGTCTATTGAGATCACATGGTTTTTTCTTTTATTCTATTAATGTGATATGTCACATTTATTGATTTACATATGTCAAACCATTCTTGCACCCCACATATAAATCCCAGTTGATCATGGTGAATGATCCTTTTAATGTGCTGCTGAATTCACTTTGCTAGTATTTTATTGAAATTTTTGCATCTCTATTCATCAGGGTCTTATTTTCTGGTAGCTCCCTTTCTGGCTTTGATATTAGGGTAACAATGACCTTGTAAAATAAGTTTGGGAGTGTTTTCAGCTCATAATTTTTAGAAAGAGTTTGAGAAGGATTATTAATTTGTTAAATGTTGAGTAAAATTCACCAGTGAAGCCATCTGGTCCTGGACTTTTCTTCACTGAGAGAGATTTTTACTACTGATTCAATCTCATCACTAGTAATTGGTCTATCCAGACTTTTTATTTCTTCCTGATCCAGTCTTGTTAGTTTGTATGTTTCAAAGAATCCTTCTATTTCTTCTAGGTCGTCCAGTTTTCTTGTGTACGGTTGTTCATATTAGCCTCTTAGGATACTTTGTGGGGTATCAGTTGTAGTGACTCCTTTTTTGTTTATAGTTTTGATTTGGGTCCTTCTTTTTTTCCCTGGTTAGTGTAGCTAAAGGTTTGTTAATTTTGTTTATCTTTTTAAAGAATCAGCTTAGTTTGGTTGATCTTTTCTATTGTTTTCCTGTTCTCTATTTATTCCTACTCTAATCTTTACTAGCTTTCCAGGTGGTTCAGTGGTAAAGAATCTGCCTGCCAAAGCAGATGTGGGTTCAATCCCTGAGTCAGGAAGATCCCCTGGAGTAGAAAATGGCAACTCACTCCAATATGCTTGCCTGGAAAATCCCATGGACAGAGGAGTCTGGTGGGCTGCAGTCCATGGGGGTCACAAAAAGTCGGACACAACTGAGCAACTGAACACACAGACATACAATCTTTACTAATTCTTCCTTCTGCTAACCTTGGGCTCAATTTTTTTTTTTTTCCCCTCAAGCTTATTATGGCATAAAGTTGTTTCTTTGGACTTTTTTTTTTTTTAATGAATTTCCTCCTTAGAGTTGCTTTTGTTGCATTGCATAAGTTTTGATACATTGTTTTTCTATTTTCATTTGTTTCAAGGTACTCTTATTTCCCTCTTAATTTCTTCTTTGATCCATAGTTGTTCATAAGAGTGTTGGCAAATTTCCATGTTTGTGAATTTTCCATTTTCCTCCTTTTACTGATTTCTAGTTTCATACCATTGTTATCAATGAAGATACTTGGTATGATTTCAGTCTTCATGAATTTTATGAGGCTTGTTTTGTGACCTAATACGTGGTCTATCCTAGAAAATTTTCATGTGCACTTGAGAAGGATGTATATTCTATTGTCCAATAGAACATCTATATATGTTTGTTAGGTTCACTTGGTCTAGTCTTATTCAAATTCACTGTTATTAATTCTCTGTCTAGATGATCTATCCATTGTTGAGAGTGGGGTATTAAAGACCTCAATTATTGCTGTATTGCTGTTTATTTCTCCTTTTAGCTCTTAACTTTTGCTTTATGTGTTTATGTGCTCCAATGTTGGGCACATAAATATTTACAATTACTTTATCTTCTTGATATATTGGCCCCCTGATCATTATATAATGATTTTGTCCCTTTATCACTTTTAAAGTCTGTTTTGTCTGATGTAAGTATAGTTACCCCTGCTTTGTTATTGTTCTTACAATTTGTTTGAAACATTTTTCCATCCCTTTGCTCTTAGTCTATATGGCTTTAAAGCTAAAATGATTCTCCTGAAGGCAGCACATCTTCGGATTTTTTTTTTTTTTAAGAACACAAGCTTTTTATTTTTTCTTAGATACAATGTTCAGTTTGGATGATGAGAATAAGCTATCTAGCTCTACCATTTATTGCAATGAATTCCAATGAAGGAAGAGGCTAAATAGGATCTAGACACTTTTGGTCTATTACCATTTAGCTTATCAAATCCACAGCCTGTACTTCTGGAGCAGGCATCCCCAATAAGGCCAAACGTGATAACCGTTGAAGATGGCAAATATGGACGATTCAACACATACATACAGTCCGGTCTGCTGTTGCTGCCTCCATACGCTCTCTAAAATCCCGTGTTTGGTCAGAGCTAGGAGCAGTATCACAGTGCTGGTTCATCTTTGCTCCACCGTTCCTCCGTTTCTGCTTCGCTGCTTTCGAGGGAGAACAGGTTCAGATCTTCTGGAAGCTGGTGGAGGCCATTCCCTTGGCAGCTTGCTGGGCTAACCAGTACTTATATCTTTTGGCTTTGGGCCTCTCAAAGTTCACCACTGACATAGGTACCTTCACAGTGTCAAGTCCATTTACCGTCACCTCACACCAGTACTCACCCCTCTGGGTGATGGGCTCTTCGGGCAACTTTAATCCATGTGGGGCAACCACAACGCCAAGATTTCTGAGAAAGTGGCGGGCAACTATTTCAGGGTTTAGCTCCCATTTGACACTGTTCTTCATTCCTACCTCCAGGTGACAACGCCTCAGAAATTTCACTGTCGCCTCACCTGCCTTGGTCTGGATCTTGTCTAGTTTTCCTTCTTCTCTCAGCACTTTCTCCTCTTCAAACAGCTTCTTGTTTTCAGGAGATGCATACACAGCCAGTCCTTCAGGAAGTAGTCGATTACGGCCCACAGATTTTTTCACCGAGACCAGGTCACCTCGGACTCCAAGTTCGTCCACCGACTGGGTGAGGACGAGCTCCAGGCTGCCTTTGGGCCGGTGTTTCGCATCTTCCACGAGCTTGTAGACGCGGTGTCGCCGGTGCAGGCGCGGTTTCCGGCCTTCTCCCGCCAGCGGCACCCTGCACCAGCGCTCTACAATGGCCGTGCCCCGACTGAGAGACAGGCTGAAGTCGCGCTCCGAGCCGGGGGTGCTCCCTAAAGGTCGCGGCCCCTCCTCGCAGCAGCCGCTCAGCGAACACCCGCAGCTGAATTCCCCGCGGGACCGCGAAAGCGGCTGCCGCCGTGTTCTCAGGCGCAGAGCTCCTTGGATCTTTTTTTTTTTTTCCCATTCAGTCATTCTGTGTCTTCTAATTGAAGAGTTTAATCTGTTTACATTTAAGGTAATTGATGATAAATAAGGACTGCTGCCATTTCATTTTCTAGATCTATTGTTCATTGTTTCTTATCCTGTTGTCTTTTTGTGTGTTTTGATGTCTTGTGGTATCAAAATGTTTTGACTTGTTTATCACGTTCTTGCGTATAATTACTACAGGTTTCCCCCAGTGGTTACCATGAGGCTTAAATAAAATATCTTAAAATCGTAATTCCCTATTTCTTTAAATTTTTATATTAAAGTATAGATGATTAACAATGTTTTAATTTCAGGTATACAGCAAGGTGATTCAGTGATACATATACATGTATTTATTTTTCAAATTCTTTTCCCATTTAGATTATTAAAGTGTATTGAGCAGCATTCCCTGTGCTATACAGTAGGTCCTTGTTGGTTATCTATTTTAAATACAGCAGTGGTAACACTATTTTAAACTGATAACTTCAATAGAATTTCAAAGCTTGCCACTTTTACTTCTTCCCCTCATATTTTAGAGTATTAATGTTACAATTTGCATGTTTCTACATTGTATAACTAAAAGAATATTGTTAAAATGGTTATTTTTAACTACATTTGTTTTCTAACTTTTAATCTAGAGTTGTGAATTACACACTACTATTACTGAATCTGACTGTATATTTACTATTAGCAAGTTTTACACTGCCGTAAGTTTTTATGATGCTAACTAGAGTCCTTTTATTTCCACACGAAGAATTCCTTTTAACTTTTCTTATAGGGCAGGGCTAATGGTGAATTCCCTCAGCTTTTGTTTGTTCAGGAAAGTCTTTATCCCTCCATTTCTGAAGGACAGTTTCATCTAATATAGTACTCTTGGTTGACAGTTTTTTTTTCTTTCTTTCAATATTTTAAATATATTATCTCATTCTTTTCTGACCTAAAAAAATTATGTTGAGAAATTTGCAAACAGTTTCCCCTTATACATAACTTTTCTCTTGCTGCTTTAAAAATTCTTTGACTTTTGACAATTTAATTATAATGTGTCTCACTTTAGCCCTATTCAGGTTCAACCTATTTGAGCTTCTCTTGGATCTGGATATCTATTTCTATCCCCAGGTTTGGGAAGTTTTCAGCCATTGTTGCTTTAAATATACCTTCTATCCATTTCTTTTTATCATTCCAGAATTCCCATTATCTGAATATTGTTTCTTTTTAATGTGTCCCGTAAGTTCCATAGGCTTTCTTCACTTTCTTTTTCCTTTCTTTTTGCTTCTCTGACTGTATAGTTTCAAATTTCTTATCTTCCAGGTTACTGATTCTTCTGAATGCTGAGTCTGCTTTCCTTTTTTTTTTTTTTAAACTCTATATTGAATTCTTCCATTATATTTTTCAGCTCTAGGATTCCTTTGTTTTTGATGGTTTCTATTTCTTTGCTGAACTTGTTGAGATCATGCATTGTTTTCCTAATTCCATTTAGTCATCTTATATTCTTGTAGCTCACTAAACTCCTTTAAGAGCATTATTCTGAATTCTTTGACAGAATATAGATCTCCATTTCTCTAAAGTCAGTTTTTAGAACTTTACTAGTTTCCTTTGGTCTTATACTTATCTGACTATTCATGATCCTTGATTATTTTTGTTGGTATCTTCCCACATGAGTAAGGGTTTCCCAGTCTTTGCAGGTTTGCTTTGGCAGAGACAATTCACCTGTCAGCTCAGTTTAGCTCTGGATATATCTGTTGGTAATGTCCTTGGGCAGGTGGGGCCTACTAACAGGATCTATTCCTGTTTGAAGCAGTTATTTAAGCTCTGAAGTTTGGAAGCGAGGTGCCACTGGCTAAGAACTGTTGGATAAGACTGCTGGCATGGTCCTCTAGCCAAAGCAGGCTGTAGGATAGGCTCTGCGGTTGCCTGAATTCTCTGGTCAGGCTTCCTACACAGTGGGGCTGGATACTATACTTAACAGTTGATGGGGCTATGGATTAGTGTCCCTTGCCCTCATGGGACAGAGGAATGGGACCCAGGGCCTGCATGGCTCCTTGTTTGGGAACCCAAATCAGGCAAAAGTTGTGCACTGGATATCCTCATCAGGTAAGGCCAGCAGCTTTGCTCTAAAGACAGGGAAAGCCATGGGCTGTGCTCTCTGCCCAAGTGACACTGTAAGCAGGACTGTTGGATGGGCTATATGCAGCCTCTCTCTCAGAAGATTCCCTGGTCAGGTGGGCTAAGGGCTGCATTTAGTAAGTGGAGCTATGAATTAGTTTCTCTGCCCAGCTGTTCTTGGGAGGACAGCTCCAAGGCCAGTAAGGCTCTTTGTGGTCTTGACTCAAGCCAACCTGTGCCCCAAGTTCCCTGGACTGACCAGGGCTACTGCCCTTGCTCTAGGGGTGATCAGCTCTGCCCACCTGCCTCTGGGCTCAAGCATTGCTGGATTACACAGGACTTTTCAGGTGTTCTCAAGCAGCCCTTCCTCTTAATGGGCCAAAAACCAAATTGGCAGCAGGTAAGGCTATGTCTGTTCTCCAGCCTGGGTGGGACTGGGAGGCCCACTTCAGACAATTCCCAGATTTTTCCTGAGTAGGCTTTCTGGCTGGGAGAAGCTGAGAGGCATGCCACAGCTGGTAGGACTGTATAACTCAACTCTTCCACCTTGAAGTGAGCTGACCAGGCTCTGGGGCTGGTGTAACTCCTCATTTGAGGAACTGAGTCATGCAGACCTGCACTCTGCCAAGTTCCCTGGCCATGCGGCACCATTGACTTGCTCTGCAGATGAGCAAAGCCACAGATTGGGACTATAATTGGGCTCTGCAGGTACAAATTTGGTCTGCCAAGACCCAGTGCTGGAAGCCCCTCCCCTTCTCCATCAGATTCCCAGTGGCTGAGCCTTGCAGTCTCCTGTGATCCCAGTGGGGTGACACCACAGCAAGGGCTCCTGTGAACTGACCCACAATGCTGGGGGTGCTGGATGTCACCCCCTGGCTCTTTCCCTCTGGAGAAGCACAGTCTCAGGGGAGACCTCTCTGTGTGGGGCTGTGCCAGCTTGGGGGAGGGGCAATGTGGTCCATGTGCAGCTGTTCCTCTTACCCCCTCTAAGGCAGTATGTCTGGGTCTCTGTGGTACAGAGGGTGCTTCAGCCTTGCTCCCAGGTTCTAGGATTCTCTCAGTGGTGTCTTATCCATGAATAGTTGATAGTTGCTATTGTGAATGGGGGAAAGTCAGGAATACCCTATGTCACACCATCTTGGTGACATCATTCCCCTTACTATGTGTTGAACACTGTTCTAAGAACTTTACATGGATTAACTTTGTTAATCCTTGTAACAACTTTATGGGCTAGATACTCCTATTTTTAAATATTTTTTATTTTTAAATTGTAATAGTTGATTTACAATGTTAATTTCTGCTATCCAGCAAAGTGACTGAGCTATATATTTCTTTCTCAAATTCTTTTCTGTTATGGTTTAAGACAGAATATTGAATATAGTTCCCTGTGCTGTATAGTAGGACCCTACTATTTATCCATCCTATATATACTCATTTGCATCTGTAACCCCGAACTCCCAATCCCACAAATCTGTTCTCTATAGATCTGTGAGTCTGTTTGTTTCAGATAAGTTCATCTGTCATATTTTAGATTCCACATATAAGTGATATCATATGGTATTTGTCTTTGTCTTACTTCATTTAGTATGATAATCTCTAGATCTATTCATGTTGCTGCAAATGGCATTATTCCACTGTTTTTATGGCTGAGTAGGATTACATTGTATGTATGTACCATATCTTCTTTATCCATTCATCTGTTGATGGATATTCAGGTTGTTTCCATGTCTTGGCTATTGTGAATAGTGCTGCTATGAACATATGGGTATGTGTATCTTTTTGAATTATAGTTTCGTCTGGATATATGCCCAGGAGTGGGATTGCTGGATCATACAGCAACTCTATTTTTAGTTTTTTTGAGGAACCTCCGTACTATTTTCCATACTGACTGCACCAGTTTACATTCCCACCAACAGTGTAGGAGTGTTCCTTTTTCTCCATACCCCCTCCAGCATTTGTTGTTTTGTAGACTTTTTAGTGAGGGCCATTCTGACTGATGTGAGGTGGCACCTCATTGTAGATTTGGTTTGCATTTCTCTTAATACTTAGTGATAATGAGCATCTCTGTTTGTCTTTGGAGAAATGTCTATTTAGGTCTTCCGCCCATTTTTCAACTGGGTTATTTAGTGTTTTGTTGTTGTTCAGTTTGGCTAGATTTTGCTATTAACCCCATTTTAAAGATGTGAGAATCAAGCCACAGAGAGGATAAAGTGGGAACCTTTGATTCACACTTGCACTGCATTTAAACCTGAGCAGGACCCCTCAAGAGCAGATGCACCTCTCCTCCATAATGAAAAGTGGCGTTACACTGCCCTTCCCTGGGCCCTCTGTGTATGTACCTGCTGGAGGTGGCAAAGTCAATCCGGGAGGCAGGAGAGGAAGATTGGAGATGCGGGTCCAAAGGAGGAATGAGGTGTTCCAGCTCATCAGCACTGCTGAGGGGCAGGTGCCCCATTTTTTTTAACCCTCACTTCCCTGCCTTCCCCGAAGAAGCTGCTGGAGGGACAGGCAACAACAGCTGCCAGCACCCCTCCCTACCCCAGCCCTGCGTTAGGCCACTGGATGAGGCAGCTCCCCACCCAGGGCAGACCTCTCAGTCACCAAATCTGAGACAGTCACCCTGCTTCATCCCTGGACTGTGGATTCGGGCTTCAAGCTCTTGACCAGGAAAAACACAGGCCCAGAAAGGACCTGTTCAGGTCACAGAGCTTGTAAATGTCAGAGCAAAAAGTAAACCAGGTGTCCAAAGGCCAGGATTATTTCCCCACTCTCCATACAGCTATTCTGTGTGGAAGCTTCCATGGTAGAGGGGCTATAATCATGCCCAATGCGTTTCCCTTAAGAAAAAGAGGAAATAAACATATCACAGAAGAGCTTTGGGAAACTGTCTGATCCCCACAGTAGGAATGGCCCTTATCCCACCTGTAAAAGTGAGTCAGAACAGTTTCCTTTTTTTTTTTTGTATTTGTATAAAATCTCCAGAAAGTGGTATATTTGTTAACTTCAAGATGGCCTATGGATGAACTGACTTTTGTACTAGTTAAATATGAAGCCATATGAATGCAGAGCCTGTTCAAAATAAGTATCTTTTTAAAAATACTCTTTCCTTAAGCCCCAGTCAGGACTGCTCAGGTCTGGTCTCACCTCTACTACACCGACTGTACCTTTGGCCTCTCCCGGAATCTCTCTGGGCCACCTCCTCCGCTATGAGTGGGCTGAACCAAGTCATCTGCAGGCTCCTCTCAGTACCTTCCTCCCTCCCATCCTCAGAGCAGCTCAGACTCAAAAGTCTAGGTACCTTTGTCTGTCTGTCTTTTAGGTTGGTTTTCTTTTGCAAGTCCATGAAATGCAACCTTCTCAGCTGGTTCTTCTGGCAATTTTGTTGCTATAAATCTAAGACCACACAGGCTATTCACACCACTGGAGCAGGAAAAAAAGCCAGGTGACTTTGCCAGCTTAGAACTTCAGGGAGCTCACCTCTGTCTGCGTGAACAGACAGGGTCGAGTAGCCCCTGGGAAATGGCATGGTGAGTCTCCACCTGGTAGGTGGAGCTAGGGGGTGATGAGGGAGAACAGCACTGCTCCAGGGGGACAGGGTGCTCTGAGGACACACACATGAGGTGTGAGGCTCCATGCTTGTAGGGAGCTTCAGGCATTTAAAAGACCTCTGAGCCCTGATTTTCTCACTCACAGAAATGGAGCTGAAACTAACTACATCACAGGTTTGTTGTGATTAGATTCGATACTGAGGTATTCTTTTTGAAAAATATTCTATGCGTGTCTTTGCTGGGTCTTTGTTGCTGCACGTGGGCTTTCTCCAGTTGCAACGCATGGGCTTCTCATTGCGGTGACTTCTCTTGTTGCAGAGCATGGGCTCTAGAGCACAGGCTCGGTAGTTGCAGTTGTGGTTCACAGGCTTAGCTGCTCCGCAGCACATGGGATCTTCCTAGACCAGGGATCCAACCTGTGTCTCCTGCACTGGCAGGCAGATTCTTTATCACTGAGCCACCAGGGGAGCCCTAGCTGTTCTGTGACTATTCATTTCCTTCCCTCTATTCTTAAGCAGAAGGAAGCAAAGGCCTTCAAAAAGGAGAAGACACATTCACGCAGCTACTGTGTGGCAAATGGACCTGCAGAGATTTAATTGATGTAGAAAACACAGGATTGTCACCAAAGTTGGTTGCAGCACATGAGCTATTCCCAAAGCACACAGAATGAACAAAATGGACATCCTATGTGGCAGACTGATGCCAAAAAAGGACCTGCAGGTAAACAAGCCAATGGCATCTTAGTTCCTTATAGAAAGAAACGAGGGGTGGGATGGTGGAGAGGTGGTTTCTAGGCATTGGAGAGGAACCCCCACAGCTTTCAAGATGAGAAAAATGGGGGCATTTAAACAATGGGGCAGATGTTGAACACCCCAGCATGTCCCCTCAAGGGGCCCGCTGACATGGGAAGGGTGGCAGGGTGCTGTGCCAGACAGCAGGCACAGGCCCAGCCCCTCACCTCCTTCAGAACAAGTCCCCAGGCTCTGAGAAGGGGCGGCAGGGGTGGCACAGGCAGAAAAGACAGATGGAAATAACACACATATATACCCGAGGTGATCCAGGAAGACAAAACCAAGGTAAGCCCTCCTGGTCTCTTCCTATGGCTCACTGGCTTCCTGGAAGCTGGGTGCTTGAGACCTGAGAATGTAGCTGGGGTGCTCTGGGGAGGAGCCCCAGGGCAGGGGGAAGGAAGTGCCCCTGAGGAAAGCCCAGGACGAGCAGAAGGAAGACCGGTGGCAAGACTTCTGGGGCCAGTGTCCAGCCACCGCCCACAGGGCTCTGGGCCCAATCCTGAGATAAGTCAAAAGGTGAGACAGAGTGCTCAGGAAAGGGGATGGTTTAAAAAAAAAAAAAAGCTTGATCTCTACAGGGCTGAGGTATTAGAGAGGTGGGCCCTGGTCCCAGAGTACAAACATGCCGGGGGGGCTTTGTCCTGGGGAGTGAGGGACCACACATGTGACCCTGGGAGCTCCAAGCGGGCCCCACGGGTCCAAGAGACTGACTCCACTCCCAGGGAGTCCCCTGGCCTCTGAAGCAGGAGCTCCGCCAGCACCACCTCTGTCTCCTGAAGGCGCCCCTGTCCCAGCTGCCCCACGTCAGTGTCGCCAGGTTCATGCAGAAGTCACACAGGGTGGCCTGAGATGTTACAGTCTAGGGGTGGCTTACTGTTCCCAGTCACACCATCCGTTTCCCCTGGTCCCCCGTGGTTCCTCTAAGTTCCAAGTGAGGCAAGCAGCACAGAGGGGGGGCCGGGAGAATGCTTTATCAGAGGGAGTAAAGTGCAGGCAGCAAGTAGGGCACATGGTCTGGGTGCAAGAGAGGCCAGGCTGCCCCCCCGGCTCAGCGCCTCAGTAGTGATAGATCTTCAGTCTGTTGCTCTCATCCAGGTCCAGCTGCAGGAGGCTGGAACCAGCCGCTGGCTTGGGCACCGAGGAGAAGAGAGGTCTGGCCACTAGATGAAGGAGAACTCTGCAGTCAGCTGAGCACGGCTGGGGAGCAGTCATGGGCCAGACAGGACCCTCCTGGGACCCCCACCCCCACCCCCCTAGGGCCCACCAGCACTGGCAGTTAGAGCGCGAAGGGATCAGGGTTTGGGAGGCAGCTAAAAGGATACAACTTGGGGTCGTTCTTGTAATGCTCTAGCCACTTTTGGTTAGCCGCGGTCGTGTCCTGCAAGTTGGAGATGCCCACCTCGGGGACTCGGGAATAGGGACGCTGCAGGAGGCGGAGCTGCTCACTGCAGGGAGGGGAAAGGAGGCAGGAGCCTGGCGAGAGTGCCCCTCTGGGGTGAGGAGCATCCATTTCCAAAAGGGAGGAGGGTGGAGCCCCCACCCTGGGTGAATGTGCCTGACTTCAGGGTTCCCACGTCGGCCTGTGGCCAGCCAATCTCATCAGCAAACACTTTCCTCTCTATCAACTCAAATACCATCCCAGCATTAGCTCCCAAGCTGGCCAAAGGGTAAGAAGGGCTGTGCTTATGGTTGGGGGCCTGCAGGGACACATCAAGGGGGGGTACATTTGGCAAGGAATAAGATGAAGGGGAAATTAATAACAGGTTTCAATAATTGCCCATCTGTCTCCCCTACAGGGAGCGCCCCCTCCCTCCAGATGTTGCTCAGCAGGGAGCCGTGCGCAGCAGACAAAGAGCTCAGGGCAGAGACAAAGGCCTCACTCCACGGCCAGATCCTATTTCTCCCTAGGGTGCCACCGGGTAGCTTCCTCATGGGGCTGGCTCAGGTAAGGCCAGCCTGGCCCCACGGGGACCTCAGTGGCTTCATGGCTTGGGGGACCTGTCTAATGTCTGGGTGACGTAACAGGGCCTTCTGGTCCCTTTACCAGGTCCCACCTGCCCTGGGAGCTGCAGCTGAAAGGCATGGCCCCACCCTGAGCCCACAGGGAGGCTTACCTGGCAGACACATAGCCCAGCCTGTTTTCCAAGGGGGCAGGGCCACTGCTCAGGAACGGGATGCCAGCTGGCAAAGTGTGAGGGAGGCATTCAGAAATGAGCAGCAGTTTAGCCAAGCCAGCCCCCTCTCGCCTCCCCCTACCCAGAAACTGCAAAGGCAGTGCCCCAAACTAAAAACCGGAAAAGCTTCTGAGGTTGGAGGTGAGAGACCGATGGTACCCAGGAACTGTCCTACTTATTTCTAAAACTGAAATTACTTTTCCTTCAATAACTGTTTTTATGGATTTTCACATTCCTCAGCAGGGCCATGAGACCAGAGGAAGCCACATACAGCCAAAGGGCTACAAATCCCGAAGTCACAGACACGGGGTCAATTGCTCACTCCCTGGGTCCCCTGTAGAATATTACTTAACCTCTGAGTCTGTTTCCTCACCTGTAAAATGAGGATAAATAGTGTGGAATAACCTCAGAGGATTATTATAAGGACTCAATGAAAAACCATACATATAATGCCTGGCCCATAATATATAACACACAAGATGGCAGCGACCACAGCTCTGACAAATAACCTCCTTACGTTCAGCTGAGCTCTAGAATCCATCATCAAGGCCCCATCAGGTAACCCGTCCTTGACCCAGAGGGCCTCCAGCCACAGGGCAAGCAGCAAGGTCCTCCCAGGGACCCTCAGTGTCCGGGGGCCATGCCAAAGCTGGGGGCGAGGGGCAGACAGAGGAGGGAGGTGGGGAGGCGGAGCCAGAACTGCACACAACCCAGAGGGAGGCTTACTTGGAAAGTACTTGCGCCACTTTTCCACCAGGAAGTCGTCCACGGTCTGAGCCACAGAGGAAGAGAGCCTGGGGCCCAGCCCCGGGTCCCAGGTCCACGGGGCAGACGTGGACTGAGCCAGGGACGAGGCTGAGCCCCGGGCCTGGGAGGGGTGGGAGGGAGCTGGGGTGCTCCTGGAGGCCTGGGTGGGGGGCAGCACGGGCATGGAGGTGAAGAGCGGTGGCGGCTGGGTGTTGAGGCTGCCCAGGACGCCGAGCACCCCATTGAGCTGGCTGCTGATACTCTGCAGGGAGCTGCTCAGATAGTGGATCTTGTTGGGGACGGTGGGGCTCGGGGTCAGGTTGCCTGAAAAGGGAAGAGGCAGAGGGTGGAGAACGGCCTGCCCGCTTCCCTGTTCCTCTCAACAAAAGCCTCACGGCTTCAGTGTTCCAGAGCATCTCCAGGAAGAGGCTCTCTGCCCCTGTGCAGGTCAGAGCGGCAGAGGGAGAAGAGACTCCCAGGCAACAGCAGGGTAGGGAAAGGCCAAGAGGGATGCTTCTCTCGCTGCAAGTCCCCTGTGCACTCAAAAGGCCTCCTCTGAGCCTCTGGGCCCTGCACACCCAGCCGGCTCACTCCTGCCAGGTAATTTGCTGACCATTTGCTCCAGACTGGCATGGCAGGGGGGGCCCCTCTCTTGCAGGGCTGTGGGGAGGGGCTGCATCTCTGGTCCCCGTGGACATCCCGGTCCTCCCCCCACCAACTCACGGCGAGGCAGGGGACAGGAGTCGGAACTGTCACTACTCCCATCTTCCAGGTCGCTGAGGTCAAAGGTCACCACCTTCTTCAGGGGGGGTCCTCTCAAAGTGTCCTCATCTGAAGCCTGGTGGGAAGACGCAGCAGATGAGGATGGCACCTGCCCTGTTTTTCTGCCCTCGTGACAGCTGAGGACTTGGGTCCCAAGCTCTGGGAGAGACACAGGCTGCCCTGCAGATATAGGCAGTAAGCTCACCAGAGTCAGGCAGGCCCCCACCCTCACCCCAGTAAACACTCCCCACGGTGTCTTTCCAGCTCCTGCTGCGTCCCCATCTCAGGCATCCAGAGGAAAGCCTACAAGGCCCAGAGAAGGGAGCGAAACCGAGGAGCCTCTATTCCTGGCCCTCAAGGCACACCTCTCCTCGGGCACCAGGGCAGGGCCAGTCCTCTCCTGAGAACCTTCAGCAAAAGGATCCAAGTCTGCTCAGGACGTCTCGGCACAGATACCCAAACCCCTAAATGTGCTTGACAGTCAAAGCTGAAGCCACGGCCACTTTCAGAAGCCCCAAGCCTACTGCCAATCCTGGGCCTTAGCTGCCCCGACATGGGACCCAAGAACCCCCACCGAATCCCAGGAACAGAAGAGGGAGGCTGGGGCCAGGCTGGGCTGCACCTCTTCCCGGAGAGAGGACTCCAGCTGATGCAGCTTCTCTTCCTCCTCCTTCAGCAGGTCATGGCCTTTCCGCATGGCCAACTTCATCTCATCCAGGTGCCTGGTCTCCTGCAGCCAGGGAGGAAGGGGAGGAGAAAGACAGTGAGTAACCACACGGGCACATGCAGGAGTTCCTGCTCTGCCGTTTGTTGGCTGGGTGATCTGAGTGAGTTTAAACAAATTCCTGAACTCTGGATGTTCATTAAAAAAAAACCTTTTCATAGGGTCTTGAAGATTAGATGAGATAACCTATGCTATGCACCCTCCACTGTGCCCACACCTAATAAATTCTCAAAACAGTTACTATTAAACAAATGGTTATTATCATCATCACTGTTCTACCATTACTACCCCCATCCTCAACAGCAGGGATTCAGCAGAGCAATTCCAGGCCCTGGGGGTGGAATGCAGATGCCCCTGGAAGGCTACCCCTCCATAAGAACTGACCTCTGACCCTCTGCTGCTCCCCAGTCAGACTTAGGGTCCACAGGGCCCAGAGTCCCTCACCAGCTCTGAGCACCATCGGAAGGAACTCTAAGGGACCAGACAAGCTGCCAAGATCCTCACATGGCAAAAAGATGTGTGATTCCACTAATAATAACCATGAAGTCGTCTCCTTTTCATTACAAATTAGGATCTCAGAGAAGGAAAACGGGGAACTCAGGCTTATGCTGAGTGTGCTCAAAAGATTTTCACTTATGAGTAAAGTCTGGAGTGTGATAGAATGGCCAAGCAATGTGGAACTTCTAGAAAATGGGAACACCACTACAACCCCGTACATCGTCTCCGGTTCTGTGAGGCCCAAGTGACTTCCTCGTAGAGAAAGCATTCTGCACTGCCAGGTGAGTGCAAGGAGCTTCCATCCTTGTGGTCATCCATAACCTCCATCTCCTGTCTGGTCTCCCTAGACTTGTCCAGCGACCCTGGGCCTACCTGACCACTCAAGGGGAGCCCAAAGGGAGGGCCAGCTTCCTGCCCCCGGCCTCCCCCACGTAGCTGAGTCCCCCTGGGGCTCCTAACCTCCTCCAGGTCCTTGCACACGTCCTCCAGGGCCGTGGTGCCTGGTAGGTCTTTGGCCACCTCCTGGCGCCAGTGCTGCTGGGCGGCCTTCAGAGCTGTCTGCCGCCTCCGCATGGAGCGCGACTGTCGCACCAGGAAGTCTTTGGCGTTGCGGAGAGCCACCCCCTCAGCAGAGACGTAGTGCCGAGCACTGCAGGAGGACAGGGCAGGGGGTAGAGTGGGGACACACGCTCTGTGAACTCCTGCTGTGGGTCATGAGCACTGTCCCAGCAGATGTCCAGCCTAAGCGCAGACCGCAGGGCTAGGAGAGCATGGGGATGCCGCTGCTTGATACCCACAGTGTGCGGCACGTGGGATGAGCACTCCAGTCCTCCCACCCTGACCCAGACAGGGACCAAGCCTGAGGCCTCCTGAGATGGCCAGACTCTCCTATCAGCCTGAAACCTCAAGCAAGGGTCAGTACATGCTAGCATGCTGTGTCAGTGATCACCCTGGGCACCTTCCTGGGTTGTCACAGAAGACTCCTCAGTGCCCCAGACCCTATCCTTGAACCAAGCCCCATTGGAGACCATGGGCCCACATCAGTCCCTGCCCCTGAGGCATGTCCTCACTCAATGATTCCTGGATCCTCAACCCAAAATAGGACAGGTTATTGGAACGCACCTGTCCAAGGATAAGGCAGTCTCCTTGCTCTGGGAAGAGAGAGAAGGATACCTCTTTAGTCTGGTTGTAAGACACACAAATGAGCAACTGAACTGAACTGAAGACACACGCAGTAGAAAACACCCACTGAATGTAACATCAGATAACTACAGGCTCAGTGGACCCCGAAGTCCCTCCTAGTGGCCCAGACAATGGTTCTGCCAGCCACTGAGCACCAGTCACTTATGGATTTAATTTGACTGATGGAGAAGTAGGGCTAGGAATGATAAGAATAGGAGACTAAAATCCTAGGCAGAATAGTCAGAACCCTTCCTGGAGCCCCCGCCCCCTCCTGGAGCCCCTCTCCTACCCACTTTCCCCTGCTGGAGCCCCATCCCTCCTGGACCTCAACGCCTCCTAGAGCCCCACCCCCCGTGGAGCCCTGCCCTATTCCAGTCACCCTGACCCTTCCAAGAGAAGCTCACCGTCCAGGGGGATCTCCTCAGGTCCTCGAGGTGCAGATCGGGCTCCAAATGTGGGGAAGCATTACTGTCCTTTACCTCCAGCTCTTTCAACAAGTCCTGCTGCTTCTGAACTTTGACCTCCAGGTCACTGTGATGGGAAATTGGGGGGAGGGGGGGAAAGAGTTGGTGAGGCAGGGTCACATGCTGAAGCAGGCCTGGCAGCACATTTCAGGACTCCTAGCGGGGAAGGGACAGAGCCATCTCCATTCTTTCAATCCTGCCAAAGATGCTGAGGCAGGGCTGGGGCAGGGACAGTAGAACTAGGGGACCCAGGCTAGTCACAGCCTCTTAATCCACCCACCCCCCCGCCAAGTCCCTACAAATCTCAGCCACTCTGCCTGGCTCCACCTCCGCTTGCTAACTGGACCACGAGGAGACACAGCTCCCGAGCAGCAGAGGTCAGAGGGCAGGCGGGAGGCGCAGGGGTGGCGGAGCGCAGGGGTTCAGACCACCTGACATGCTTCTGCAGCCTCTGACTCTGGGCCTGCAGCAGCTCCACCTGGGACTCCAGCTCCAGCTTGCGGGCCTGAAGCTCCTCGAAGATTCTTCGGAGCTTCCGGTTTGACTCCAGCAGGTGGGTGTGCTCCTTCTTGGCCTCCTCCAGGTGCTGATGGGTGGCTGTGGCTTCCTGGGGGCAGAAGGAAAGACAGAAGGACCTGGAGACGTGGGAGGGAGTTGATGGGGTAGGTACAGAGCAGACAGCAGCAGACACCCGGGAGCACTAGGCGAGAGGCTGGACCCCACCCCCACCCCCCCGCCACCCCGCACACGGCAGATACAGGCCCTGCCCCTTCGTGGCCCCGCCCCCTTCGTGGCCCCGCCCCCCAGTTGCCGAGCTGATCCCGCAGAGAGGCAACCTGTGGGATGCTAGCCAACAGAGTTTGGAATCCAATTCCCCGGATAGACCAGGGGAATGAAGGGGTTGGGGAAGGAAGTGCAATGAGGGAGGGCAGGAGGAGAGGCAGACGCACCTCGCTCTCCAGCGCGACCTGCCTCTGCACGTCGAGGAGCTGTTGCTTCTCTTTCCGGGCCACCTCCTCCTGCAGGGCACAGAAGGTCTGGCCATCTGGCCAACTCTGGGTGGGCCTCTCCTGGGGGAGACTTCCAGGTCAAGGGTACCTGAGAGCCTGTCCTCTGCCCCTACTCCCGCACCTGGACATCCAGCTGAGCCAATCGGGCCTTGACATCCTTGGTTCTGGTTTCAAGTTCCGCCTCTAAATCTTGGAGCTTCTTTTCCTGCATGGAATGTAGGTGGAGAGAGAAATGGGAGTGCAGCCAGCGCCCAGGCCCGAGCTGAGGGCCTGGAGGAGTTCACGACCCTGTGCCCCACACCACGTGCTCCAAGCTGGGCTGGGCTCCCCCAGCAGAGCATCACCCCTTACTTATTTGGGGGGGGGGGGGCAGGTGAGCAGAGGCAAAGACACCAACCCCAAGGCCCGTGGTGCACTGACCTCCATTTCTAGTCCTGGGGATGCTCCTTGGCCCAGAAAGCAAAGAGCAAGAATGCCCCAGCTTGGGGATGGGCAGCGAGAGACCTCCTCACCCCTGAAGCCGTTAGGCTCCACCCCGCCGCGGTGGCAGTGCCGGGCCCCCAGTACTCTTCTGCCCTGGGTAGAGGGGTCGGGGAGGGCGGGCCCCAAGCGACCGTCAGCAAAGAGGCCCACCTGCTCCCGGTGCCGCCACCGCAGGTCCTCCAGCTGCCGGTCCTGCTCCTGCCTCGCCGACTCCAGCTCTCGCTCATGGGCCCTGCGCAGGCGCTCCAGCTCTCCCGTCAGGTGCCGCAGGAGCTCAGCCCGCTGCTTCCTCTCCTGACGGAGGGTGGGGCCATCAGTGGGAAACCACGGCGGCCCCTCCCAACCCTTCGACCAGAGCCGCCCCCTACCCCCTGCCCTGCCACCTCAGGTCAGTAAGATCAGGGATCCCACCAGGCCTCTGATGCCGACTCTTGGAGAGAGAGGGCCCGGGACCGTGTGGTCTCGCCCCCCAGAAACCCTGCACACCCTCTGCTGCTGCTGAAACAACACTGGACAGATGTCCTGAAAAATCCCTGGTGTGGACCCCTGCCTCTCTTACCACCCCCAACACACACAGCCTTCCTTCCTTAAGGGAAGGGGTCTTTACTAAAATGTCACTATTCTTCAACAAAGGCAGAATTGGTTTAGGAAAGGAGTCAACTACATTTTCCTCTGGGCTGCTATTTCTGCCCTGGTGCAGAGTCGGATACTGGTTCACGTTTCTGGAGGCATAGCCTAGAAAATGGGGACAGAAGCCCACCCAGCTCTGGGCTAAAGTCAGCCTCCAGCCCTCCCTGTCATTCGCCCCAATGTGAGCACGCCAGCCTGGGTCCACTTAGTCATGTACTCTCCCCTCTAAGCCAGAGGCTGAAGAAGGGCAGGTAATATCTAAATATTGGTGGCTCAGACGGGAAAAGCGTCTGCCTACAATGCGGGAGACCTGGATTCGATCCCTGGGTCGGGAAGATCCCCTGGAGGAGGAGATGGCAACCCACTCCAGTACTCTTGCCTGAAAAATCCCATGGATGGAAGAGCATGGTAAGCCACAGTCCATGGGGTTGCAAAGAATCGGACACAACTGAGCAACTTCCCTACTTTCCTTCCCTTGCCAATCTATTTCCTGCAGTCCTGGAATTTCTATTAGGCCTGGAGGCACAGGGTTGGCGGTTAAACCAACCGCATCAGAAGGCTCTGGAGTCAGACAGTCTTGGCTTGAATCCTAGCTCCTCTCCTTCTCAGCCAGGGAGGCTTAGGGGAGTTGCTTATGCTCAAGTCTCAGTTTCCTGTTTTTAAAATGGAGAGACCAGTAGTATGGACACCCCCGCCTGAGGGTATTGTGAAGACTAAATGAGGTTAACAGGCAAAGAGCTCAGGATGCACCTGGCACATCATATAAGCTCAATACACCTCGGCTGTTATTAACAGGAGAGCAAAGTGCAGCCTGATGGCAGGGAGGCTTTAGTACAAAGGCAAAACCAGATTTCACCACTGCCGGGGGCAAGTAAAGAACGCTTCCACCACCCCTGACCCCTTCTGAGGCCCTCAGGACATCTGGGAAGGACCCCGAGGGGTGGGTGGGGATGGGTGTGTGTGTGCACGCACACACACACACACACGTGCACCAGGGGATGGGGCCAAGTCACCTCGGCCTCATACTGCTGCCTGGCCTCAGCCACCACCTGCTGGTGCTCCTCCTTCATCCTGTCCATCTTCCGCTCGTGCTCCCGCTCCACCTCCTGGCGCTTCTCTCTCAGGAGGCCGCTGAGCTGCCGGGCAGGAGGCAGGGATGCGACATGCAGGACTGAGGCTGGAGCAGCACCGGGGACTGAAGCACTTGAAGGACTCACACACGTGTGCGACACACGCCCACCTCCCCCAATGTCCCCACATACACACATGGCCACACCCAGCACCCCCTCCCACTCCACTCACGTACAGGGCACAGGGTGGAGAAGGACTTGGCCTCCAGGGAACTAAGGCATGAAAACAGAGCCCCAGCTGAGCCGTCCAAAGCAAAGCAGAGGACCCTCAGGCCAGAATGGCTCGGCCGGCCAGCCGTGACAACGGGCCTCCAGAGCGAAAGGGGCAGACCGGCACGCACCTCCTGCTCGTACTCCAGCACCTGGTACGCTTTGCGATGGGCTCGCTGCTCCGCCCACCCAAGGCTCTCCTGCAGCTGGGCCTCCTCTCTCTGGTGAGCTTCCTCCATCTTCTTCTGGAGGCTGGAGAGTACCTGAGGAGGCGCCCGCAGCGGGCAGTGTGACCCTCAGAGGGCCCGACAGAGTGGCCACAGGTGACTCGCTTCCCAGGGACCCAGCCCCCAGGGCTGCAGGAGAGGGAGGCTACTGGCAGGGACGGGGTCGGGGTGAGCTCTTCTGCCGACCAGCCCAGCCGTGAAGGCTCAGAGCCCGGGGACCAGCATGCCAGGCTCTGCCCCTCACCTCCCGGTGCTTGGCCTCCAGCGAGGAGGAGAGCCGCTCCAGCTCCTCTCTGTGCTCCCTCTCCAGCGCTGCCACCGCCTGGGGTGCAACACAGGGCCCGTGAGGACCAGGCAGGCTGGCCAGGCTCTGACCCTGGGCCGAGCAAGAGCCAGGAAGACCATCCCCAGTGCCCCCTGAGCTAAGGGGCTGAGGGGAACCGCAGGCACTCTGTGTTCCTCCAAAACAGCTGTCCCTCAAGTCTGCAAGCAAATGGGGACATGGAGGCCAGAGTGGAGGGAACCTTTCAGTGAGGCTTGGCCATGGCCCTTCCAGCCTCGGGCCTCCGGGCCAAACCACAGTACCCAGGCCACACTCCTGCCTGTGAATAAGGGCCAGGAGGCCTGGAGGCTCAGCACCGTCTCCCTGAGCACGTGCAGCACAGTGACCTCCCCCACAGGTTCCCTAGGCCTGGGAACTGACACTCCACCCAGAACCAAAATAAAACGCCAGTTCCACGTGACCTACTACCTACTTCAGCCTCTTACCTAGAGACAGACCGCTGGATGGGAGGGACAGGGAGTAAGGACAAAGGAGAACAAACCCCCCTGAGTGAGCCGGCCTCTTGCTCTGAGGCAGGGGAGGGAAGGAGAGAGATGAGAGGTCATCACAGCTGCCCCTCAGGGACGAGGACGGGGACGCTGCACCTTCGTCCCAAGACCTCTGGTCTGGTTTCAGATCTTTCAGTCATGGAGTCTTTCCAAACCCCCGGGTCCTTTCCCTTCAAACTTCTTCTCTGCTGCTGACAACTCCCAGCAGGCCCTGGAGGGGGGCCTCTGGACCCCACTGTGCCCTCTGTCTGCCGTGGAGACCAGGGCAGCATCTGCTCTGAGACGAGTGGGCTCCACATGGGCCCAGACGGCCGGACCAATATCTCCATGCCCTTTCTCGCAGACCCCCGCGCTACTGGCTCCTCTGGGCACCAAGGCTGGCTCTTGTTCTTCCTCAGCACCCAGCCCCTCCCCAGGGACACATGGGGGTGGACGGAGGCACTCACTTCTTTCCTCTCCCCTTCCAGCTGCTCCCTCAGCTGCTCCAAGGCCCTCTCCTTCTCCACGTTCAGGGCAGCCTGCTCTCTCTTCTCCGAAGCATCCATCTCTTCCCTGAGCTGCTCCAGCATCTGCCTGCTCCTCTCTTCCAAGCTGGCCCTCTCGGCCTTCTGCAGAGACTCCAGCTCTTCTCGCAGCCTCTGCAGGGAAGCCTCTTGCTCGGCCCTGGGCAGCAAAGGAGGTGGGGGTGGGTCTGGGCACTTATGTTGGGGGGGTGTGGGTGCAGAGAGGGGAGAGCCTTCGGGGAGGCCGGGCCGCCGACAGCCCACACTCACCTGATTTGGTCCTCATCAGCCTCCGAGCTGGACTGCACATGGGCGCGGAGCCGGGACAGCCTCTGGCTCTCCTGCTCTCTCATCTGGGTCTCCTCCTCCTCGGTGGCTCTCTGCAGCTGCTCCTTCAGGGAACTGCAAAGCAAAGGCAAGTTTGCTGGCGGGACCACAAGGCCTTCCTTTTCTCTTCTACACCTAACCCCTGGCTCTCAGCCTCCAAAAGCCTAGAGCCTGCTTGTGAAGCTTCCTACATCTTAAGAACAAGCCTAACCTCAGCCTCTGGCTCCTGCTGCCTTTAATACCTCCCAGGGCGAGAGGGGCTATCAATTCCACCTGCCCTTTGCCACAGGAAGCAGATTACAGGCTCGATGATCCCAGAATAGCATTTCTGCCAAAGGTTCTCCTCTGCCTCCAGGTGGGAGGCATTTACTCAAGCTTGGATCCAGTCTGACCCCAACCTACCTCTGGCCACATCATATGAGCCAGCACCTCCAAACCCCACCACACTCCTCCCTGCCTCCTGGCCTTTGTTCAAGCCAGTTCTCTCATTGAGAATGCCCTTTCCTACCTGACAAACCCGTGTTCCTTGTTCAACACCCATCTCCCTCCTCTCGAAGCCTTTCCAACTCTCCCCAAGCTCACCAATCCTCTTTCAGCTCCCATCATGCTTTATATGGGGACCTTTCTTATCCATGCCGCTCTGTGCCATGCATAACATCACACCATAATTCAGCCTTTGTACGTGTGTTTTCTTTACAAGTGTGGGAGCGTCTCGAGAGAAGGAATCTTGCCTTAAAATCTGCTATCTCCCAAGTGCCAAGCACGGTAACAGAAATGGAAGTAGGGACTCCATGAATGCTGGCTGAATTTGGGCAGTGTCACCCAGGCCCAAACTATAAGCAAGTTCTGATTATCTGTGAGGAGTCCCTTATTCACAGACCAACGAGATGGTGACCATCTCATCCCAACCAGACAACCCTTGCGCGGCCCGCACGTGACCAGGGGCTGTCATGTGACCAGTGCTGCACACTCAGGGAGTTCAAGCCTGAGAAAAACATGATTCAGAAGACAATCTCTCGGAAAAGCTTCTGCAGTGAATTCCAGAGCCAGAAAAGACCGGATCATTCTCTATTTTCAGCTATCAACACCACTGCTCTCTTCCGTAATGATAGAAAATTTAAAAGACTCTTCCCTGCTAGATTCCCCAGAAACCCTTTCTCTTTGTCCCAAGGCTAAATTTTACACATATCACCACAGAATGGAAGGTCTTTAGCAGTTAAGTCCTGCATTTTACAACACTCTCCTCTCTTCATCTTACAACTAAACTCAGTCTCTCTGTTTCATAACTTAAGAAACTAAGCGTCAGCCTGCCTGCCTTCTCATTCAAGAAATATTTGCTACAAGGTCTGCTGTGGTTTCCAGAAATTTCCACCAAGTGGTAATTTCCCAGGAGAGAGGAGACCCTAGCCCTCAGAAAGGCTCATGTGTAAATAGAAACAGGGCTCTCATGACAAACTACTTTGAAGAAAGCCAGGCAAGGCGCTGCCCACAGAAAAATCACTTAGTCAAGACCACCAACAGTGTACTGATTTCAGCTGAAAATATAACCAAGAGCCAGCTTTTACTGAGCAACTATCATGCTTTAGGCCCTGAGTCAGATACTTTTCAACAGGCTGGTTTTCACTATAATTTAGGAGGGCTCTGGGAGGCCCCTCTGAAGTTGGGGAGCTCGGGAAGGGACAGAGAGCAGTCAGCACAGCCCAGGTGTCCAGGGAAAGAGAGGAGCCTGGTGGGGAGATCCCACCAGTATTTCTTCCCAGGCACTGCCTCTCAAGGTAAGCTGAGTCGCACTCTATTTGGGGGCCCCCTCCCCAAGTTCCAGGTGGCTAGAAGAGGAGGATGCCTGGGACCATCTATACTTTGGGGTGCTCTCTGGCAGGGGGACCCAGGAAGGGTGACACAGGATGGACCCTGGTCAGCAGAGCCTGTGTTGGGCTAATGAGAGAGACTGTCCCCAAGCCTCCGGGCAGTTGGGTGCTGGTTTTCTGTTAGTTTCTCTAAATTAAGCATAAATATTTTATACAGTCTTTGCCATGTATGATATAAAAATAGTAAGTCTACAGCACTTTGGGATCTTCTGTCCAAGAGGACAAGATTCAGCCTTTAGCTTAACTGCCAAGTAAGTGAAACATATTAACATCTTTTCGTAGCACTTTCCCCATCCTGGGACTGTGACAAAGATGGTTTACGGCCCTCTCAATATCCATTCTCCCACTATTCTTTACTAAGAGAACCCTAATTTTATTCTCTCAGGCCCAGAGACCAGCTAGAGGACTACATTCCCCAGTCAACTTTGCACCCTTTGCAAGCAGGAGTGGCCAGTGAGATATAAACAGAAATTATTGGGTAAAGTTTCCATGAAAGTGCCTTCGAAGGGACTGAATGAGCTAGAAGGGGCCCCTATACTTCCTGCCTGGAACACAGATACGCTGGCTGGAGATCCAGCAGCTACACTGGACTGTAAAGAGAGCCTGAGAGTAAAAGTCAGCACTAACGATGGCAGAGGGATTAAAGGACACCTGGTGACGCTTTATTGTGGAGCTGTCATGCCAGCCCTCAACTGCCTTTTCCTATAAAAACCAGAACTCCAGCACAGAAACACACAATCCTACACACACAAGGCCAGCCTAAGCTTACGTGCTGCATTTGTCGAGGGCCTGCCAGTCACCTATCCAAAGAGTAGGAACCCAAACAGAAACTTCTGGGTCCTGGGCAAGAGCACCTCACACCCTATCACATGGTCCCTACCAATCTCACTGGGTCCCCACAGGGCCCTGACTCCCAGGAGAGAGGATGTCATAGTCATTAAGAAAACAGGCTCTGGGACTTCCCTGGTGGCACAGTGAGTAAGAATCCACCTGCCAATGCAGGGGCACGGGTTCAATCCCTGACCAGGGAAGATTCCACACATCAAGGAGCAACTAAGCTGTGTGCCTTAACTACTGAGCCCATGCCCTAGAGCCTAGGAACCACAACTACTGAAGCCTATGTGCCCTAGACCCTGCGCTCCACTGTAATAAGAGAGTAGCCCCCACTCACCGCAACTAGAGAAAGCCTGTGCAAAATGATGACAACCCAGTGCAGCCAAAAATAAAATACATAAAAATTATTTAAAAACAAAAACAGGGGACTTCCCTGGCAGTCCAGTAGCTAAGACTCTGAGCTCCCACTGCAGTGGGCACAGGTTCAATCCCTGGTCAGGGAACTAAACTCCTCCATGCTGCATGGTGCAGCCAAAATAAAAAAATAAAGAATGGTGTTTAAAAAAAAAAGAAACAGGCCCTGGAGACAAACCACCTGGACTGTTAATCCAGGCTCTGCTGCTTATGAGGCTCCATTCCTTGGACAAGCTACTTAACCTTCCTGTGCTTCAGCTTCTTCATCTATATTATAAATTCTACAAAATAGACTTGATGACAACACCTCATAAGGGCCGTTCCAAGGACTGAACGCGTTAGCAGACATAAAGCACATGGATCAGAGTAATCTCTCAAAACATACCAGCCATCCCCATTACTATCATGCCTCTCAAGTTCCTTCCCAAAAAAAGGAAAGGCATGGGTCTTGGCCAGGGAGCCCACCCCTCCTCCTGGGCCAGGAAGGAGTCGTCCTGGAGGGGCCCAGGCATCCCTGCAGTAGCCAGCGTGGCTGGGCCAGGGGGCGGCGGTACCTGAGCGCCCTCTCTTTCTGCTGGTGAAGCTGCAGGGCCTCCGCCTCCTCCTCCCGCCACAGCTTCTCCCGAAGCCGCTGCATCTTCTCTCGCTTGGACTCCAGGAGCCGTGTATGCTCGTGCTCGAGCTCTCGGGCCACCGCCTCTTCCGTAGCCTCCAGCGCGGCCTCTGAGAGCTGCTCCCGGGGAGCCACAGGCTCTGCAGATCGCCTGCCAAGGGCGGGAGCAGTGTTTCACTCGGTTTACTGTTCACCCACCTTCTGGCACCAGGGTTCACACAGATACCGAGCAGCCCACACGGAGCCCTAACAGAGGGCCCCCAGTCAGGAGTCGGACGTGCATGTCAGGTCACCTGAGGGCGAGCAGCAAGGCTACCCTCTCGAACACAAGGGCAGCATCTGTTCCAGAGCAGTGGCCCCCAACCTTTCTGGAACTGGTTTAATGCAAGACAATTTTTCCACAAACCAGGGGTTGGGGGGTGGTTTGGGGATGATTCACATGCATTACATTTACTGTGCACTTTATTTCTATTATTACCGTATCAGCTCCACCTCAGGTCATCAGGCATTAGATCCTGGAGGCTAGAGACCCCTATTCTATACGATAAGCTCCACTGTGGCTGTGTGAGGGAGGGCCTGAGTGCCTAAGGGGTGGGTGACGCACAGGAGGCTCTCAGGGGACTGGGTAGGTTGTGGCCGGAGTGAACACCCTGAGACACGGCTCAGGAGCTGGCGGCAGGAGAAGAGGGCAAACTTCTGTCCCTCATGGACTCCTCCCGAGCGGGTTCGTGGCCCCGGTTCCGTCACCCACCAGGGCTGTCCCTGTTACATGAGGCTCATGCCAGCAGTTTGGGGAATCCCCAGAGGCTGCTCCCTGGCTCTCGAGACTGAACGGCGGTCAGTGTTACGAGCCAGCAGGAGAAGCAGCAGCATGCCTCCTAGCCCTGAGGGCCGAGTGGTGAGGAGGACCAGGAGTGCCCAACCTATTTCCACGGTGCCGAGAGAGCCAGGCAGGAGACCCTTCCCTGAGTCAGAGAGAGTAGCAGAGGCACATCCGAAATGCCAGGCTCCGTATCTCAACAGTGCCACAGCTTCATCTGCTTAGTGAATTCGCCGTGTGGAAATGGGTAAAAGGAATTCTGACTGCGATGCAAAGGAACAATGGGATTGGTTAAAGAGATGTCTACAAAGCCATGAAGGTCGTTCTGTTGCATATATGCTGGCTCTTGAAGGAAACAGCCAAAGAGAAACCCCAAGAACATTTTAAGCAATGGAAACCTAAGTGGGATAAAGTATTTTGCCTCCCAGAGTGGCTTTCCTAAAGGCAAGGACGCGTGTGCAGTCCCAGGTCCTTAAATCTTACATTAGAAATTGGTCTGGCCACGCAAGCACCACCTTCTCCCGCAATGATCAGCCTGTGGCAGGGCCTGGCACCATGGCCGAGTGGACCACAGCAGCATGCAGGAGGGGTCTGAATCAAGGAAGGGTGGGGACAGGGTCCAAGAAGGGAAGCAGCCTGCCGGGGATGCAGAAGCCCCTCTGCCCTCAGCTCCCGCTCTGCAGCAGATGGAAGGCGGCAGGTGGGATCAGACTAGCACAGCAGAAGGAAACGAGGGCTCTGGAATTCCCTTCCAGCCCCTTGAGGCCAGAGACAGAAGAAACACACAAAAGGCTACCCAAGTCTCTGAAAAATTGAGATCCTTCCTAAAATCGTGACTCAGACCAGAAATGGTCCTGAGCTCTGTCTTCAGCTCCCTTCTGCTCCCAAGCCCGTCTCCCTCCTTCCAATTCCCACTTCCTCTCAGTCCCCTGACGCAGCCCAGACTGAGGCAGATGTAAGATGTAGCCACCACCTCCTCTGAGAATCCCGCCCTGGAAAGAGCCTCCCCACAACCCCGCCACCGCCGCAGCTCTCCGCCTCATCAACCCTCCAACTCATTTCCAACCTGAGCTGAAAACATCTTTTTTTCCCTGAGATAGTACCTTTTAATGTCTCCCTTCCCTGCGGGCTGCAGAGCTATGTGGGGCCCTAGGGACAGATGCTGCGAAGAGACAGAGCACCAGCCGGCGTGACCGCGTGCACCCAGGCTGCACGCACCAGTGAGCCTGCCTGCACGCCTGGCATGCAGGCAGATCAGGGCTGCTTTTCCAGCGGGCCTCTTTGCTGTGTCCCTGTTTTCAAGACTGAGTATCCCAAACTCCCAGCTTAGGTCCAACGCAGTCAACAGTGAGCCTGAAAGATCTATGACACGCCTGGGAAGTCAAAGCCTCCAGGGGAAGAGGCAGGTCCGATTTCTAGGCCACTCCTCAAGTATCACCATCAGTGAGACCCAGTTTCCAACAGCGAGTGGCCAAGAGGAGGCTCAGCAGAACGTCGTTTCAGGCTGCCGGCCGAGTTACTCTGAGACATTCGAGGGAAAGCGAGGAGGGACGGGCAGGGAGGGAGGAGAGGGTGGAGGGCTGTGGTACCAAGTCCTGACGCGGCCGTGCCACCACTGAAACTCGGATCGCCATCAGGGATTCTGTCTCCACTCATTTTCAACCCAGTGGTTTTTGTTTGTTTTTTAACTTTTTATTCTATACTCAAGGGTTAGTTAGTCCCTCTTTGCAACCCCATAGATTGTGCCGACCAGGTTCTTCTATTCTCCAGGCAAGAACACTAGAGAATATTCCCTTCTCCAGGGCATCTTCCTGACCCCGGGATCAAACCCGGGTCTCCTGCATTGCTGGCAGATTCTTCACCATCTGAGCCACAAGGGAAGCCCATTTTATATTGCGGTATAATCAATTAACAGTGCTGTGACAGTTTCAGGTGGAGAGCCAAAGGACTCAGCCATACTCCCCTAAACTCCCCTCCCATCCAGGCTGCCATATAACACTGCGTAGGTCCTTGTTGGTTATCCATTGTAGATACAGCAGCATGTACCTGTCCATCCCAAGCTCTCTTAGCTATCCCTTCCCTGCAACCATAAGTTCATTCTCTAAGTCTGCAAGTCTCTTTCTCCAGCCCAGTGGTTTTAATGCATTTGCCTTCTCTCTCTACAAACACCTCATGAAGGATGCTGGGAAGACAGAGGGAAGGATATGCTTATTTCCCAGACCCGGGCCTCCCAGCCATAAAGCACACACAGCAGCGGCTGCTTGCTGGCCCCGCCTGCACTCTGACCTCCCTGCGCGCCTAACCCCTCCTGATTCTGCTTGACAACATCCATGCAGGTGAAAAACTCTCCTAATCATGTTTTTTATTCTCTATATTTTACAGTGTTACAATATCTGAAGAAGGTGGCTGGTCAAGGAGAGGGTGCCCCTCCCCAGAGTAGGCAATCTTTATAGACAGCAAAGGGAATATGTCTTTCCTAAGCAAACCCACCCCTACCATCTCTTAATCTATTTCCCATGCCCCAGATCACCCAGGGCCGGGCCCCAGGCAACCAGAGACCATGCCCAGAGCCCAGAGCCATCCAAAATTATTCAAACTCCCCCCTACAGTCGCTTGAGTACTCACCCCGCCTCACCCACTGCTTCCCAAGAAAACCCCAATAAGAGCTCCGGGTCATGCTCTTCCTTCTCACTTCTTTCCCCTCCTGACCAACTCTGGTCCTTCTCCACGTGGCCCCGCCTGGCAGGGCATGCCCTCTTCTCTCTGGAAACATAAGGAATAAATTCTTCTTTCAGTGGCATCGGCCCCTCTGTGTTGTCACTCAGTCACCTCTGCAAATTAAAATTCCATGGATACAAATGAAGCACAGAGTCACTTCCCCGCGAAACCCAGAGAACAAATCCATTCTGAAGCCAGCTGTAAAGGTCAATAGCAAGGAAGTTCTAGAGCCTGAGAAGACTCCAGGAAAAGGAGCAGAAGACATCTCCTAAGAGTACCGTGTAAACTGAACCTGTGGGGTCAAGGGGAGGGTGGCCCAGCAGGGACAGCCTCGCAGGGACGGGAGGAGAAACACAGGGAAGAGGACTTGTCAGCCCGGGTGGCCGGGAGGAGCCTCACCACCCAACTTCTCTCCCAGAAGCCATGCGAAAACTCCCTCTGACTCCTGACCTCTGCCCAGAGGGTCCTGTTTCTGAAGCCCGCTCACCTCCTGTCCTCATCATAAGCACCCTGATCTGGCTGTCCACAGCCAAGGAGACCAGGGAAAGCCATGTCACTCCCCAGGGGCAGCGCTGTCACCCGCGCTGGATGGGCTGGATCACCACCTGAAAAGGGGGCCGGCCCTTCCCTACATCACTCCCTCAGCACGACAGAGCGCTACAGGAGAACGTGCCTTCTCGGTCCCGCCAGCCCTCGGCGACACTTACTGTGAGCAATCAGTGCGTGAACCTGTCTGCTCAACAGTCAGCCCCAATCCTGAGGACTCTTAATCCTTTACTACTGCTCAGCTCACAGGCGGGAAAAACTGTATCACCCTGAAACCCCGGCACCACGCAGGGAAAAGACACAGTGGCTGCAGACCAAGAGACAGAAGTCAAGGGCTCCAGAGACTAGAATCTAGATCTAATTCTGTGATCGACTAGCAATGTGACCTTGGGCAAATCCCTTTGCCCCTCTGAACCTCAGTTTCCTCATCTGTAAAAGGGGCGAGAGAGGGAGAGAAGAGCTAAAGGGTTTCCAAGTTTTAGAAGTGCAACAGTGTAGGTGAGCTGTGAACCCAGGCACAAAAGATCTATATTGTGTACTGGATAATTCCATTCAAATGAAGTCGGGGAACAGGAAAAATGAATCTATGGGACAGAAGCCAGAAGAGTAATGATCTGGGGTGGGTGGACTGAAAGGAGAGGAGTCCGAGGAAGCTTACAGGAGGGACAGAAATGTTCTAAAAGATCTGGGAGGTTGTGACACGGTGTGTAAAAAGTGTGAGTCACTCAGTCAGGTCCGACTCTTTGCGACCCATGGACTGCAGCCCACCAGGCTCCTCTGTCCATGGAATTCTACAGGCAAGGATACTGGAGTGGGTAGCCATTCCCTTCCCCAGGGGATCTGTCCGACCCAGGGGTCGAACCCAGGTCTCTGCATTGTAGGCAGATTCTTTACTGTCTTGAGCTACCAGGGAAGCCTGTGATATGGTCCACATGTATATAAACATTCATTGACTTGTACAATTCACGTGTACATACAACCAGGTACATAAATAGCACAATAATTTTTTAAAGGAAAACAATGCTTGATAGAGCAGAAAACGTGGTTGACCAGGTTTCTGCTAACGACCCAGCAGGTGCTCTGCCCCCTCGTTTCCAGCCTCATACCCTAGGTGCTGACGAGGGGAGCCCTGAGGGCTGCTTAGGGGTCAAGGCTGCACACAGAACCAAGGGTACACTCACTCTCCCCCCACTCCACTCCTTGAGCCAGGGCCAGAGCACCCTCTCCCCACCACCCAAGACGGGATAGGCACTAAAGCAACCCATACAATGGAGGACAGGGACAGACATGGAAACTGGCCCTTACACCTCTGGAGAGCCTGGCGGGGTGGGGCTGACCGCCACCTTCTCCTCGGGCTCTTCCTGCCCAGGGCCCGGCCCCTCGGCCTGGGGCTGCCGTTCCTCGCCCCTCTCGTGGGTGGCAGGTAGGCTTGGGAGCGCCTCCCTTGACAGCAACAAGGAAGGAACTGCGTTAAAACCAGCGGAAAGTGAGAGGCTCCCAGGTGTACCCTGCTTGGGGCCAAGGGAGGAGGCAGCCCCAGCAAGACGTGCGGTCTCAGGCCCCAGGCCTCAGCTCCGCTGCCCAGTGCCCCACGCAGCAGGGGCTCCGTGGGTGCTGCTGCTCTGCCTTCACAGTGACTCATTCCAGCCAAGTGAGCTCTAAGGCCAGCGCCTTTCTCATCCTGGGGGACCGCACCTCCCTGACCTGGGGCCCAGCACTAGCAGGGCTCCGTCCACCCCCGGGGCTTGCTGAATGACTAGTGGTGGGATGATCATGGGGAAGTAGGGGGCTGGCAGGTGGGGACCAGGAGACATGGCCGCCCCCCTAGCAGGAACCGTCCAGCCCAGCTGACAGCAGACTCTGCCCCACCCCCTGGCAGGGGGCAGCTGGGTCAAAAGAGATACTTCCTTGTGCCAGAGTTTCTAAGCTCCCCTAACCAGTCTGTGCACCCCGATTGTAGCTGCAGGCTGCAGACTAGGAAGAGGGAGATTTCCTCCCTCCTCAGTTTATATGAAGCACTAACCAGAAACCTCCATTGCTGCTGCTTAGGCTGCAAACCCGCCCCCTGCTCTCCCCACCTCTCCAGACCCACTGCCCTGGGAGGCTTCCGGCCGGCCCTTACCTATGCAGGGAAACAGAGGGTGGGGGGCTGCCCAGAGAGCCCACATCAGGCTCTGCTGCCTCCTTCCGCTCAGGCTGCCCCTCTGGGGCCTGCGGAGGCCCTTCGTCGGTGGCCTGGCTGTGAAGGAGACTCTGGAGCCGCTCCTCACGCAGAAGAGGGGGAGATAACCTGAGCAGAGAGCAGAGTCAGGGCCTCCACTCGGACAGCAGCAGGAGAACTGCAGAGTGGAGTATGTGGACCCAGGTCCATGCTGCCTCCAGGCTGGACCCCAGTCCTGGCCCCACCTCCATGGAGAGCCCATGGAGGGCAACACAGCCAAAAAAGCAGGACGGACAAGCTCCCTACTGAGCTCACCCTCTGCCTGGACTGGACTCAGCCCTCCCAGGTCCATAGGCTGCATGTGCATGGCCCAGGAGTGACATCTGGGCATACACGGGTATATCTATCCCCACCATCCCTGGGGTCTGGGAGTGGGGGGAGTGATGGAAGAATTGAGCAGAAAAGAGGAAGAAAAATAGAAGCCAGGCTCAAATGGTCACTCTATAGAAAATACATGAAGCTGCAGCTTTGAGGAAGTAAAAATGCTGATAGCTTTTCAAGTTTCAAAAAGTAGAATGACCACCCCCTTCCCCTGCCAGGGTGGCAACCCTTCTCTTTCGTGGGCCCAGGCCTGAGAAGCTGGAAGCCCCTGTCTCTCAGTCTCTCTCGCTCATATACACACACACAGCTGCAGCCATTTCTGATGTGGCTAGGCCTGGCTCAGAGCTCTGAGCTGCAGCACCGATCCTCTAGCATGGTCCCCCAGACCTCTAGCAGATTATCCAGCCCTGATCCATGACCAGGGACACACGAGGTTGCATCCAATTGGGTGAAGAGGACAGAGCCCTGGCCCCACAATAATGCTGTGGCCACAAAGTCCCACCAAACACTGCAGCAGTACCTCCCACTTCTGTCTTGGTTTGCCTGTGCATGTGTGCGCACGCACACACACAAACTCTGCAAGGCCATCCAGTGAGTTCATCACTGGAGCACACTGAGGCATGTAGGCCAAAGGCAGGAATTCTGGTCCCAAGTCCACGCCATCCCAAAGTCCCCAAGGGCCACCTCCCACACACAGTACCTCTCTGAGCCTCCAGACTGCTTGCTCTGCAGCTCCTCTTGGCTGGACTGGCTGGCATCCTTGTCTTCTATTCCAAACCTCTGGGCCTGCAGACAAGCAGCAGTGGAAAGTGTACACTGGGGTAGGGGGTCTGCATCGGGTCCTTTAATCCTCCAGTCGACGCCCATGCCAGGAGGCAGCACTGAGAGGTGGCTCTTGGTGGGAGAGGACCACTCAGGATGCAGAACAGAAGGCCTGTCTACTGTACAAGGAAGCCCCTGCGGCTCGGGCTAAGCCCCCAGGCTCACAGCTGCTTCCAGAGCCGGCCTTGCTGCCCTGCAGAGGATGAGTCAGACACCACAGCCACTGCAGGCAGAGTCAGCAGCCACAGGCTGAAGGAGGACACACAAGAAAAAGAAAATCCTGCCTCCTGCAGGTGGAAACATTCACTGCCAGCTGCAGAGAGAAAGCAGAGACGTCCGTGAACACCCCAAATCCACAGGCCCCCAACCGCCAGAGCCACTGATCATCCGGAATGCTGAAATTCAGTGAGCAGGACTGGGGACGGCAGACAAAGTGCATCAAAGAGGAAATCTGGAGAGGTGGAGACGTGGTGAAACGAGAGACAGCTATACTCCAGATGAGAAGGGCACCGTGAGGGCAACCGGAAGGGAGGAAGACGGAGCGCTCCTTTGCACCATTCTGAGATTCCCCCGACACCCAGGTGCCATCAGGAGACAGTGACACCCCCTTCCTAATCAGGAATTATACCTGCCAGACAGTGCAAAGAAGCAACGAAAAGAGTCAGGCCCAAACCTCATTTTAAAGTTTGGGTGTCTGGGCAAAGTTAGCAAGCTGGTGAAAAGGACTATTCTTAATACATTCACCAATTTTCTGCAGGGGTGAGGTGACAGGGGTATAGCAGTGCAGTCAGCCTGGACTTAACCCTTAGTTCCAGCACCTCCTCCACTACAAAATGGGATCGCAGGGCTTCCCCTGGGCTTCCCCGGTGGCTCCATGGTAAAGAATTCGCCTGCAATGGAGGAGACGCAGGAGACACAGGTTCAATCCCCAGGTCCGGTGGCTCAGTGCAGGAGACACAGGTTCCGTCCCTGAACGAGGAAGATCCCACACGCCCAGAGCAACTAAGCCTGTGCGCCACACTATTAAGACTGTGCTCTAGGGCCCAGGAGCCGCAACCACTGAAGCCCCCGCACCCTAGAGCCGGTGCTACATTCAACAAGAGAAGTCACCAGTCACCGCAATGAGAAGCCCACGTGCTACAGCTAGAGAGGGGCCCCTCTTGCCACAACGAGAGAAAAGCCCATGCAGCAATGAAGACCCAGCACAGCCAAAGATAAATAAATAAAATTATTTTGTGAAAAATGAGATAGTGAACCACAGTGTACAGGGCTTTTAGTGGGGATTAAATGAGATCATATACTTTAAAGCCCGACTCCGGCCCAAAAAAGGCATGCTACAAACAAGAGCTCTCCTCACACTCCTCCTCCTCTCCCCCAGCCTGGGGGGAAAAAAAAAAAAACAAAAGAAACCCAGCTTCGCCAGTGCCAGTTCCCATCCTAGGACCTGCACTCCTTCTGTCACACTCACAGGGGCCCCATCTGTTCCGGCACACAAGGGTTAACAGGAGAGGTGGGGCTGGAGACAGCCCACTCCATCTTCTCCGACGGGGTTCTGGCCGCGCTGGCACACCTCCGTGTCCCCAGCCCCATACCCGCAGCCCCCCACGTCTCTCCACTGGCAGCCTGAGCCCCAGCAGCTGTGGCCGACTCTGCCATCTGGATGGGTGAGGAAGGGCAGGGTCTGAACTAAAAGCCAGCTCCCCCCAAATTACATTAAAAATAGAAACGCTGCCTGGGAGTGCCTCCCGGTGCCCGCAGCAGAAGGGCTCCCTGCCAGCGCTGCCATTCCTGATCGCATCAGCCGGGCAGAGCCCGCAGACAATGGCAGGGCGGCGTCCTTCTCCCACCCCGCCTCCTCCCCTTCCAGGACTCAACTTGCAACTTGTCTTCCCTACAGATCACACCATGCTTAGCAGAGAGCTGCCCTCCCACAGGCCAATCTATTTCACAAACTAAAATATAAGATGGGTAACAAGGTTCAGTGATCATAATAAATATTGGGGGGCTGCGAATCAGAAAGGATGAGCTGCAGACAATGTCTGTTTCCTTCCTGATTCACCTTTCTGCTAGAAACTCAGGAGCCAGAGAAAAGGGCACACCTTGGGCAAGTACCCACACAGAGGCCCTTTGAGCAGAGTTTTACTTCCTCCCTAGAATTTTTTGCCCCAGAAAGGGAGTCAAAGGAACCAGGCAAGGCCATCAGGCACATCGGCACTCTTCAGAACGAGGAAACGCATGCCCGTTCTAAGCCTCTGGCCTAAGATTGCTCAAGACACCCCTTCCCCAACCTAAACTCAGCTCTGGGGTTTTGTTTTTGTTCACAATTCAGTCTTCACTTAAGTAAATCACAGGGACTTCCCTGGTGGTCCACTTTTTTAAAACCCTCCAAGGAAATCTGTCTTTTTAAAAGCCCCACAAGTGCTTCCCTTGTGCTCGGCTGGTAAAGAATCCGCTTGCAATGCGGGAGACCTAGGTTCGATCCCGGGAAGATCTCCTGGAGAAGGGAAAGGCTACCCACTCCAGTATTCTGGCCTGGAGAATTCCATGGACTGTATAGTCCATGGGGTCGCAAAGAGTCGGACACGACTGAGCGACTTTCGCTTTCTTTCACTTAAGGATTCTAATATTGGCCAGATTTTGGAGTCAGAGCAGTGGAAAATCACCTTGCCTAGCCAACTCGATAACTTTCCCACTTACCTGCTGCCAAAGACCTCACCAATCACCTGCTCCAAACCCTTCCTGACGAACACCACCTGGCCTTGTCTGTGCCTTTACAGACCTCCAGTGCTGCAAACGGTGGGCAGGCAGTAAGGGGGAGAGATCCAGTGTCCAGCAGGGACCCAGTGGCTAAGCAGTGGCCCAGGAAGGCTTATCAGCCAGAGCTGAGAGGAACATGTCGGGCTCCAATCAACCGGACTCACAACTCTACCCTGACTCAGGACTGGCTTCAATAAGGGCTCCCAGGCTTGATTCACATTAAATACCTTGTTTTACCCAAACGAAATGCTCCCTCAAACCTGCAGAGACCACATGTCAGAACCTCTCTCCTCTCAATAATCCCACAGAGAAGGCAAAAAGATCTTGGCATTTATTTTTTACAGATTTTTTTAAAAGGATGGCCATTCTAGATGGTCTAAAGGGATACCTCATTGTAGTTTTGATTTGCATTTCTCTAATGATACCGAGTACCTTTTAATGTATTTGTTGACCATCTGTCTTTTTGTTTGTTTGTTTCAAAATTGGTGTTTATTTAAAATAAGTGGTAATGTTTTTTTTGTTTGTTTGTTTCAAAATTGGTATTTATTTAAAATAAGTGGAAATGTTTTTTGGGTTTTTTTTGTCTGTCTTCTTTGAAGAAATGTCTGTTTAGGTCTTCTGCCCATTTTTGGATTGGGTTGTTTGATTTTTTGGTTATTGAGCTACATGAGCTGTTTGTATATTTTAGAGATTAATCCCTTGTCAGTTTTGTTTGCAAATATTTGCTAGTGTTTCACCATGATATTGATGCTTGTTTTGAGAAAAAAATCATTTTAATCATGTTAAATAAATGGCTTCCTTAATGCTATTATTTTTAGAAATCAATATTAAATTTTTATCAGATACCTTTTGATCTCAAAGTGATCAGGTTTTACCCTCTGATTCACAGATATCATGAAATATAGTTAGAAGATTCATAATATTAAACCATCCTTCAATACTAAAAGAGAAAATGAAAAAATGACCTTGGCTTCAAGCTCCTTGCAGATAGGATCTGTGTCTGAGTCACCTTTATCCCCTACTCTGGGTTCAACGACACCCATGGCTACCCAGAGCTTACATCTGGCCAGGGAGATAGAGAACCAGAAAAGAAAAGCAGCAGCGCTAAGGGAAGCAGAGGGGAGGACCGATCCATCGGGCACGGAGGAGGTGACATCAGAGATGGGCCTCCAAGACCAAGAAGGAGCTCTCAGGGCACAAGGGGAGGTGGCTGGCAGGCAGGGTGGTGAAGCAGTGGACGGTGTGGCCCAGGGGAATGGCGAGTGGTGGGCACAGCCAGGGCATGGCAGGTGGGCTGAGGATGTGGCAGCAGAGGTTGAATGGGCCAGGTGAGGAAGTGCCCTGAAATCCACAAGCTGCACAGTGCTTTTTTGCACAGGCACAAATGGTCAGCCCTCAGATGCTAAATGAATGGACGAAGAGACAAAAACAGGGAGGACGGGGGGCAGGGAAGGCCCTTAATTCATAGCAGCAACAGAGCATGAACGTTGGAAGCTCCATCACAGGCACAGTCAGGGCCTTGCCTTGATGAACCAGACGGGAGAGAACTCTCAGAAATGCACCCTGGGATGGGCAGGCCTCGCTCTTGATTATCACCAAAAATGAGGCCCCAGCCCAGCCCCAGAGAGACTTACCTCCCAGCGGGCGCCACCCAGGACAGAGGAGTGCACATCCACATCCAGCAGGCGCTCTGAGATCTGGCTGCGGAAACCGAAGTCCTGGAGATGATGGAGACGGGGAGGTCAGCTCTCCCCCAATCATGGTCAATGCCCACCAGAGATCAGGGCCTCTCCTCCACTCCCACCTTCCAGAAAGACGCCTACTATGTGCCAGACACTGTGCCAAGCATTCCAATACCTACTCATTAATCTCATCTTTAAAATAACACTGGGCTTCCCTGCTGGCTCAGACAGTAGAGAGTCTGCCTGCAATGCAGGAGACCCGGGTTTGATCTGTGGGTCAGGAAGATCCCCTGGAGTAGAAAATGACAACCCGCTCCAGCATTCTTGTCTGGAGAATCTTATAGACAGAGGAGCCTGAGGGGGTTACAGTCCATGGAGTCGCAAAGAGCAGGACATGACGGAGTGACTAACACTTTCGCTTTTCTTCAAAATAACTGCGACTAGATGGAAAGATATGTGGTAAAGCAACTATGGTATACTGCAAACTGCAGACTCTAGGGGTTGAGTATGTAGATATTCTCTATAAAATTCTTTTAATTTTTCCATTCGGTTGAAATTTTTCATAATCAAATTACAGGGGAAGAAAGTAACCCTATGAGACTGTCCTCTTTATTTTTATCTCACAGAGCAGGAAGCCGTTTGAGAGCCCATGTAACTTGCCCAAGGTCATGCATCTGTCAAGCAGCAGGGCTGGGGGTCAGATGTGTCCTGGGCCGACTCCAGTGCCCAAGCTCTTTGCCTGACATGTGCTGCAAAGCATGTCACTTTCCAGCTGTCTCTCCCTGCTGGTGCCCAACAGGAGGCCTAAGTGCCCAGAAGATCTGTGGGCAGGTAGGAAACAGGGCTTGCCAGGCTCCTCCCAGCTGGTTTCCCCTTCCCATACAGGTGCCCCACAGGACAATGGGGATGAATCAGCACCATTTTCTCCACTGGCTTCTCTTTAGGACGGGCAGCAAGGACCCACGCAGGTGCCAGCTCCCTGCTGCCCTCTGACTGCCACAGAGCCAGGACACCTCCCCCTCTGAACCCAGGAGCCCCACTGGGCTAGGTGATGGATTGCTATCCGACAGCACGCTAACAGGGACAGTTCTGTCATCAGCCCTGATGAATGGCGGGATGCCCAGCCAAGGTCTGGTCCTGCTGGCCATGGCTTCCTCCACCCACTCCCATAAAGAAGAAAAATGCTGACGGACACACTTCTCCACAGGGCGGCTCCCTGAGAAGGGCCAGGGCCCTTGCTTCAGAGAGCTCTGTGGCACGGTGACTCTTCATGATGGTTTCTGCCAACAGTGACTTTGCCTCCCCTTCCTGGCTTGTGGGTTTTCTTTGTGGATGACATTTTCCTTTCAGCGTGAGTTCTACTCCACTCGATGCAGCTGCCATCTGGCTGCTTAAGCCCATGGCTCAGCAAGGGGCTTGAGCACACAGCCTCCTAATTCCTCTGCACCCCCTCGTATCACTACTGCTCATCCCTGACCCTCTCCCACTAATCCCTTCTCTTTGATCTGCCTCCTCCAAACAGATGGAGTATGGTTTCTGAAAGAAATGCTCTGCCAAAAAGCACCCCAGACTACTCCCCTTAGATACAAACCCGGCAAGTGAAGCCAGGATTCGGGAAGCTCAGTGGAAGGTGGAAGAGCTGGAACAAAGACACCATGGATGCAGGCATTCCAGAGCAGTCTTCACTTTGGAAATGACCACACCACAACACACTTCTTGTTCAGAGCCTGAGGACTGGTCCTTCCTTGCCACAGTTCAGTGATCCCATAAACACATACACACACAGTCTCTACTCTCTTACACTCATACAATGCTCTTGTTAAGAGCCCAGAGCCATGATCTCATATGATCTCACAGGCAGTTCAAGGAGCAGTAGTAGTAATAACAGCTATGCTTGTTTAATAGTCATATGCTAATGATGCATATACGCTTTACCCCACTTTCTTCTCACAAGAAACCTAAAAAGTAGGTAGTGTTATCCTTGACAGGGCGAGCTGAGGAAACGGAGTTAGACAGGACCCAAGTTTGAGCCCTAACTTCCCCACTTACAAGCTGTGAGATGCTTGGCAAGTTATTTAACCACAGTAACCTGCATAGCCATGCTCTTTATCACTACTCTGCTGCCCACGACACCCACCCCCAACCCCATCTCAGACTGAGACTCACCAAGCCAAGGAAAGACTTGGGGTCAGAAGCAGCGGAGTCTGAGAGCTGTAGCTGCTTCACGTGTTCACTGATCTCCAACTCCTGGGGAGACAGACACAGAGAAGTCACTGGAGCAGAAGACAGAGGGTCGTTATCAGTCTCCATGGCGCCCACACAGGGCTAAACCCAAACCGAAATCCACCTCCTCTGGAAAACCTGAAAGAAGCCTGTAGACCCTCCCATTCCCAGCCCCCAGCCCACTCAGGCTGGGCAGCCCACAGGCAACACTCTGCACGTGGAGGGACAGCCAAGCGAAGCGGAGTGGGAGGTGGTTAGAAAGTCAGCAGTGGAGAAGTTTGATGTTCTCCTAGAAAAACATAATGAGAGCATCTTTTCCAGGAAGCAGTGAAAAGCTCTTTAATGAATTCCCTCACCATCCCCCTGGAGGAGGAGCAGGACTGAGGGCTGGAAAGTGAAGACGCCAAATGCTCTCACCCCTGGCTCCTACGTCTGTCCATCTGGGTCACTGGACCATCTTGCCAAGCAAGACTTCCTGTAACCTGACTGACCAGTGCTGGGGCAGGACACTCCCAAATGCGCCCCCCACCCCACCTCCCTCAATGCTTCCTCTCTTTATAGGAACATAGGATGCAACCAGGAATAACCCAAAACTGATGTCAAGAAGTAGGAGGGGGAGGTAGGAAGTGGCGAGAGGAAGTAAGTGGGAGCCCAGAAGAGCATGAATATCCCAGGAGGGTGCCCGTGGAAAAGCAAATGTCTGCTCTGAATTTCTAGTGCCAGCAGGTATGGAATTTCATTCAGGATTTTACTGCCTGCTGGGTCTGGGCATATTTGTCACAATTAAGGGTTCTGGCTGATGCTGACAGCCCATTGCAGGGTCTGCAAATGAAGCTTCTGACTCAGTAATAAAGATGAAAAGAGGGAAACGTGCTCCGGGCTCAAGAGAGCAGAGAGGGCTGGAGCCAGCAACTGCCCAAGGGACCTAGTGACTTACTTCACTGGCCTCTGATCTGCTCTCTTTCGGGACAGAGGCCTCCTTCTTTGGCTCCTCAGCTGCCTCTTCCTTCCTGGAACCCTCCTCTCCTGCATCCACTAGGTCCTCTGGTGCCTCTTTTTTAGTGGCGTTGGCAGGCTGATCACCTCCAGTGTCCACCACACTTCTGGATGTCCCAGGATCATTCTTCTCATTCTTTCCTTTTTCTGGGAACCAACTTGCCTCTCTTTGCTGTTGCTCTTCGCCATCAGCACTGCTCAGGCTGCTGTCTGCACCTTGGCTGAAGGGCTTGCCAGAAGTAAGGGGGCCAGCAATATCAGAATCAAGAGAAACGTCCTTCTCCTCTGGCTGGCTTGCTCTTGGAGACTCCTAGAGAGCAGCCAACCGCGTCAGAAGGGAAGACATCAGGAATTAATGCAAGGAGTTTGGAGACTTGATAAGACAGAACTGCCATTGTTCCTTGATGCCTGCAGTTCTGAAACCAATGGTTATCCCATACCTGAAAAGCTTTTAAAAACAGACTCCTGGCTCCAGCCCAGATCCACTGACTCTGAACTTCATGTTGACCCGGATATACCCAACCTGACGCCCGTCCACTGAAGGGCTTGGAATCCAGTGCCCTGGACAGTGCCTGACTCTGCAACCACCCATCACATCCTCAAGTAATAAATCTGTCTTGTTCCAGTCCCACTGGCCAAACCGTAAGACCACAGGCTCAGAAGTCAATGTTTGTTTCTTATAATGAGGACAGAGAACCACACGAGAGAAAGGTCCAGAGCCTGTTTTTCATTTTTAAAAGGCGGCAGGAAAATGAATGAATAAATAAAAGGCAGCAGGGGAGAAACATCGAGAGGGTGCCCCTCCTCCATAGCCGCGAGGGTAGCTCTCTCCCTAAAGCACCCACCCACCCCCACCAGGAGGCTACACAAGCAGCCCAGGGGCCAGGCTCCTCTGTCGGACTGTCCAGTGAGTGTTGTGGGCACGAGGTGCTAGATGGGGTGAGGGTAGATGCCCACAGAGGGCACGGGAGGTGGGGAGAGGCCTGGGAACAAAGGTCTGTGATCTGGGGCAGGAGAAAGGGAAGGCGGGGGCCCGAGTAGGAGCGCCTTGGGCCACAGCCCAGGTCTGAGAGGGCCTCCAGGCCTGGGGAGAGTCCCACAGTCATCAGGCAGAAATGGCCCTGCTGCACCACCAGCAGCTCCTTCAACAAGCCGAGCCTTGGCAGATCAATGGTTCAGGAGCTGCAGGCCGTCAATCCACCAACGGCCCCTCTGCGGGGTCTCTTCAAAGGAGACGGGAGCAGCACCCCTCTACAGCTGCCCACCCTGCTTCTCACTCACAAACCCCATGGAGGAGACCTAGAGACGTAGGAAAACGTTTAGAGCTGCCACAAGAAGAAAAGGAACTCCCGCCCTTGGAAACACAGCCAGCGATCTCTTCTGGGCTCAGGCAAAGAAGACCTTCTCCCAGAAAACATCTGGCCTGACACTTGAGCCATCAGTGTGAACAGCGACTTTTGAGACCTCCTGACCCCCAACTCTGGAGACTCCAATAAGAAGCCCGATGACCAGAGTCCAGAGGGCCAAGGAGAAGCCCCAAATCCAGCATTCGCCCATGCCATCTGTCTGTAAAAGGATCCACTGAACCCAAACCTGTGACCACCCACTGTGGGTCTGGCAGTCGACCAACAAGCCCACCCAAACTTTCCAAGGATGGTTAAGAGAGAGAAGAAGCAGGGTGCTTTCAGAGCCCGGCTTCAGAGACAGAACACCCAGGTTTCAAATCTTGGCTCCATGCTTCCAGGGACCTCGTGCAAACTAAATTTTCTGTGCCTCAGTTTCTTCCCCTAAAATGAGGAGTATCATAAAGCCTATCTCATAGGGTTGTTGGGAAGATTAAATGAGTTAACGCTCATTAAGTGAGTAAAGAGCAGAGAACTGTACCTGGACACTGCAAGCGCTCCATAAATGCTAACTCATTTTTTCGTGTGCTTATTTGGCTGTACCAATCTTATGTGGCAGGCAGGATCTTTGATCTTCATTGTGGCATGCAAGATCTTTTTCAATTTTTTTTAATTGCAGCATGTAAACTCTTAGCTGCGGCAAGTGGGATCTTAGTTCCCTGACCAGGGAAGGAACCCATGCCCCCTGCATTGGGAACACATGGAGTCTTAGCCACTAGACCACCAGGGAGCTCCTGATACCTCATGTTCTATGATGAGGTCCACACGTTCAATCACTGAGCACCTTCTCAACCCTGCCGTGGGGACCCAAATATGAAGACCGATCCTGCCCTCAAGGAATTCAGCTGGGTCTGGAGAAAAGTGAAATGTCCCCGGTGGCCCTGGCTATGAGCCTTGACTGCCAGAAGCAAAGGACACGGGACACAGTCATGATGCTGTCATCAGCCCCCAGCCTGCGCCCAGGGAGGGAAGCGGAGGCTGAACAGAGAAGGGGTGGGCTTCCCTCACGCCCTGGCAGCACCAAAGCACAGTGCCCTCCAGTGCTGCCCACCCTCCCGACACCCCAACTGCAGCATGGAGGAAATCCGCACAGTCAGCTCCTCCCTCCTTTGAGAGGCCTCTCCAGGGCAAGGCCAGGCCTGCTCACCTCGGTGTCCCCACAGCGGCAGGCTCTCAGCAGTGGCCAGCACACAGTGACTGGTCGGGGGCTCACGGAGGATGTGGATAAAGAAGATGTGGCACATGTATACAACGGACTCTTTATTACTCAGCCATAAAAAGGAATGAAACTGCGCCATTTGCAGAGACATGGATGGACCCAGAGACTGTTATACAGAGTGAAGTAAGTCAGAAAGAGAAAAACGAATAGTGTATATTAATGCACATATGTAGAATCTAGAAAAAGGGTATAAGTAATCTTATTTGCAAAGCAGAAAGAGAGGCAGACACAGAGAACAAATGAATGGATACCAAGGGGGGAGTGGGGGTTGAGACTGACATATATACTCTGTTGATACTACGTAAAAACCAGGTAACTAACGAGAACCTGACGTACAACACACGGAACCGCGGCGTGCTGCCCAGCACAGCTCGGGGCTCTCGGGGACCTGAATGGGACGCAAATCCAGAGGGAGGGAACCCATGTAAACACAGAGCTGATTCACTTTGCCGTATGGTGGAAACGAACACAACATCGCAAAGCAATTATAATCCAACAAAAATTCATGAAAAATCTTATGGAGAAGAAGAATGTGGGGGTGTCTTGTGGGGAGTGAAAGGTGTCTGACTCAGTGAGCGGGACCAATCCGCCCTGGCCATGCTCATCTCCTGATGAAAGACAGGCAACAGACCTCTGACTGGAGGATAGAGAGGGTAGCGGACCAAAAGTTCACATCTCCTCGCACGGCTCACAGCCCTTCTCACCCAGCCCTGCCTGTTCCTCTGAGGTCATCTCCAGTCACACACATCCTGCCTGCGAACAAACATCACGCTATTTCCCTGCTCTGCTGTGCGTATCCTTAACACACACACACAGAATCTACCCTGACAAGCTCCCACTGGTCCTGACAGCATCACCTCTTCCAGGAAGCCTTCCTGAAATCAGCCTGCCCCATCCTTTTGCACAACCACTACTGTATTATAAAGGCTGACTTCCTTGTCTGTCACCCCCACCATATCAGCTCCCTAATATCCTCAGTGCCTTCTGGCACATACAAGATGCTCAGTCAATGTTTGGGACTCGATTTTTAAAAATGATTAAGTGGATCAACACAGAGAGAAGAGTTCCTACCCTGTAAAGTGATACCTACTTTACAAAGCTACAGAGAGATCATATTATATTTGTCACGGTGGTTATGAGATGGAAAATAGCTAAACAAAAGTCAACTATGGATATTTAGGATGATGGAAAAACAAGTATGCTATCTAAAATCAGAGGACACCAGATCCACATGGAGATTCCCATTCTTACACATGAGAGAATACGGCCAGACGCCAAGAATGTCAGGCCCAGGCTATGCCACTCTCAAGCCTTCAAAAGAAGAGTGTTCCATGACAGAGCTGAACCTATTCTGTCTATCTAAATAGTAAAATATTAAAACATGGCTAACATTAAAATAAATGAACTTGAATTCCCCGTGCCCACGTCAACTAACTGCAATGACAGGGCGGGCAGAGGGACATCTTGCGGGGTAAGACAGTAGAGGCAGAGGCATCTGTTGTGGATTATCCACAAATGGATAAACGGGAGCTAAGTGTCTGGAAAACCCAGCCGACTCCATGCTCCTCTCCACCACTGCTCCTCATCCCATCTCGGGGCTCACGGCCTGAGGCCCCCACCCAGGACGCACACCCAGGCCCCTGTACATGGCCCCCTGCACCAGCATCCTACGGGGTACCCGGGAGAGAACAGGAACACACCTCCAGCACAGCCCTACTCCCAGCTCAACCATGCTCATGCTCCTTCTGTCTCCTCCTGTCACAGCCCCTGGTCCTTGAGTGTCTCAAGGCACCTTCCTGCTGTTTATTCCAAAAAGATCTTGCCATCTGCATGAAAGGGGGTGGGGGAGGGTGCAGGAGAGTGCCTATAAGAATCGGTTCATGAATATTGAACATACCCCCCAAAAGCTCTGAGGTCTTCCATGCCGCAGTCCCACTCCTGTGGCCCAGAACACAAAGGCAGGGGGCCCTACGATCCACACGGGGGCTCAGGGGTGGGAAACGGGGGAGCTGAACACAACGTCCTTGCACTGATCCCGTGCTGGGGAGACCCCCACCAAGCCAAACGTCAGTCTGGTTTCTTTCCCACGTCTCATTCCCACCCAGTCTGTCTCAGCTCTTTGCACTGCTCCCTGGTGATGTGGTTAGCACTTTCCAATCACACTGACATCATCCTGTTATTTCTAAGCGTAGCTCCCTCCCTCCCCTTTGATCTGCTGATGGGCTTTTCACCAGCTCCACAAGGCCACCTGCTGCCTGCTCGCCTACCCTTCAGCCTTCCCTCTTTCACTCCCTTCCATTCTTAGTGTCTGTTCCAGGAAACTAGTGCTTTTGATTCTGTAATAGACTAGAAATGGGTTTAAGCTGAAGGCAGGAGAGGAGGGGGAAGGAGAGAGAGAGGCATTCTTGCCATCCTACTGCCCTCTCATGGAATCATGAGCAAAGTGACTGTTCACAGCGAGACAGGGTAGAACAAACCATAGGATCAGCTCTCCATCTCGGGCAGCCCGAGATGCCAGAGAGCCGGAAGAGGTAGGCAGTTCAGAGGACCCAAGGTCTACACTACTGCTGTTCAGTCACTAAGTCGTGTCTGACTCTTTGCAACCCCATGGAGCGTAGCCTGCCCAGCTCCTCTGTCCGTGGGATTCTCCAGGTAAGAATACTGCAGTGGGTTGCCATTTCATTCTCCACGGGATCTTCCTGACCCAGGGATCAAACCTGAGTCTCCTGCACTGCAGGCAGATTCTTTGCCATCTAAGCCCTACAATAAACTGGGACAAAAGCCATTTTAAAGGGTATGGCAATCAGAGACAGCTTTGTCTGTCCTGAAACTCCCATTCATCCCCAACACGAACCTTCCCCACCACAAAAAGCCCCAGTTCCTGCCTGAGGCTAGAACACAGGACTCCAACACTCCATGTGGCAAAAAGAACGAAATCTGCTGGGACGCTAGAGACAGAGGTGGGGAGTGTATGTAACACCTCCCACTCCAGACATTTTCCCCCCATCACACTGAGTTGCCTATTTATATTAAAGAGGTTATAAAAAGATGCGCTTAAAAACTCCCACTCCTTCAAAGAAACACATAAAGATCAGAAGGGAAGTGTCTGAAAATCCAGGACATGTCAAAGAAGAAAATCCCTTTTTTTGTTGACATTTATAATCAATTATAAAGTAAAAATAAACTCTTCCAAGTCATAGTACATTATGATTGGTCCATATGGGGATTTTCAATTCACCAGCTGAAGCAGGGACCAAGTATCTACTCTAGTTAGGACCTGGGAAAACCCAGAAAAGAAGCACAATGAGACCTGACAGCATATCCTCCAGTCCCAGCGTGGCTCACTCACTCACTCACCTATTCACCCTCTCAAGGGAAAGTGAAAGTCACTCAGTTGTGTCCGACTCTTTGCGACCCCGTGGACTCAGCCACAAGGCTCCTCTGTCCATGGAATTCTCCAGGCCAGAATACTGGAGTGGGTAGCCATTTCCTTCTCCAAGGGATCTTCCTAACCCAGGGATCAAACCCAAGTCTCCTGCACTGCAGGTGGATTCTTTACCATCTAAGCCACCAGGGAAGCCCAAGAATACTGGAGTGGGTAGCCTATCCCTTCTCCAGTGGATCTTCCCAACCCCAGGATCGAACTGGGGTATCCTGCATTGCAGGGGATTCTTCGCCAGTTCAGCTTCCAGGGAAGCCCTTCACCCTCTCAACTGCTCAGCAAAATACACCCATGCACTTCCTAAGTTACACAGCAAGCCAGGTGATGGACACACAGACATGAACAGGCCAGAATCTTTACTCTCAGTCTGCTCAGTCTCGGGGAGACTGCCCTTTCTCCAAAAGCCAGTGAGTCCTCCTGACACCCTATTCCTACTCATGGTCATCCTTCCAGGCTCAGAACCTGAGCTACTGATTCCAACAGCATCGTAACATCTTAATGGCAGATGATAACAAATAAAGTTATCATTTCAAAAGCACCAAAGAGACAGAAGGCTATGGATTTAATGCCAACAGACCATGCCCCACTTGAAAGGAAGAGTTTAAAGTATACCCAAATGAGGTTGATGACACTCAGAAAAAAGTGTCACATGTGAGAAAGTGTCAAAAGTCACAATCAAAGCATACATGATTGAGCAGAGCCAAAAACGGAGACAGTTTCTGAGGCAACAGAGACAGCTCAGGGTCTCCTCAGGTGGCCCAGGGGTTAAGAATCTGCCTTCCAATGCAGGGGACATGGGTTCGAATCCTGGTTGGGGAACTAAGATCCCACATGTTGTGGGGCAACTATAAGCCTGCAGGCCACAACTAGAGAAACCCCTGCACACTGCAAAGAAGACCCAGCACAGCCAAAAGTAACTTTAAAAAATAAAACTAAACAGCCTAAGTATAAAATGGGAGCCACCTAACGGCTAGAGTGGGATCAGCTGAAAAAGCCCACCTACATCTCAGGACGTGAGTTTGAGCAACCTCCGGAAGATGGTGAAGGACAGTGAAGCCTGGCAAGCTGCAGTCCATGGGGGCAAAGAGTCAAACACAACTGAGAGACTCAACAGCACCTCAGGGGTCAGCAAGCGTCCTCAACCTCAGCCAGCCTGGAACGTTCCCCTGGCTCTCGAAGAGAGCTGAAGACCATGAAGCAAAAGTCAGAAACAATAAGGATGTGGAAAGGGATAAGGATATAATAATAGAAGATAATAAGGTTATAAGATAATAAGGAAACAGTGAAATCCATGTTTCATTGGTCAGTTTTATAAGTATTCTAATAAATGTGAGTGATCTCTTCATTTGAAAGTGTTTAAAGTCTTTAAGAGAATTTTCTACTTTATGGAAAGTTTAACTGACCTGGCAATCGATATCTCAATGTTTGGAGAAATCTGAGTTGCTGACTTCATGATGTATTGGTTGTTTGAATACTTTGGGCACCCTTAGAGAAAGCTTAATTGTCAAAAAATTACTAAATTAAACACTAGGCCAAGAACAAACAGTAGGCAATGTGCCTTTTTCAGTAGAAAAATGCATTGGAGGTTTTAGCTATTACAATGACCTGATGAGTTTTCGGTTCTGTCTGTTCATTTTAAAGAACATTCTCGTGGGAGTGGAGGACAGACCGGGGAAAGAGATGAGAAGCAACACAACTACTGGGGGCACAGTCTGGAAGCTGCTCCCATCCACATTCTGTGGTTCCCAAGCCTTGTGTCTTTGTTCAAGCTGTTCACTTGCCTAGAACATCCCTTCCACTCCCACGTCTAAAACTTAACTATTTCTCTTCAAGATCCAGGTCAAATGCCATCTCTTCCAAGTTCTCCCTGATCTCTCAGCAGGTAATTTCTCTCCCCTCTAAGGACTTCCCTGATGGTCTGGTGGCTAAGACTCTGCTCTCCCAATGCAGGGGCCCCCATTCAATCTCTGGTCAGGGAACTAGATTCTGCATGCCTCAACTAAAAGATTCCATGTGCCACAACTAAGACCTGGTGCAACCAAATAAATATTTAAATTCTGAACAGTGTAGCAGTGCTAGAGCTCTTTACACACCCTCCCTGCTTTAAAACTTCCTAAATATTCATTTATTCAACATATACTGAAGGCTCACCAGAGGACCCAGCAACCTTCCTCTCTGACCGCACACTCCTGGAGGCCACCCTGGGCCACACCTTACCAGTGTTCAGACCGCCCACAGGGTCCAGCACACGGCTGCCCCACAGCCAGCACTCAACAGATGTTAAGAATCCGGATGGCGGGACTTCCCTGGCTGTCCAGTGGCTAAGACTCCGTATTCCCAATTCAGGGAGACCGGGTTTGATCCCTGGTTGGGAATTACATCCCATGTGCTGAAACTAAAGAGCCTGCATGCCACAATGAAGATCGAAGATCCTGAGTGCCACAACTAAGACCCAACACAGCAAAAAAAAAAATTTTTTTAATTAAAAAAAAGAAAAAGAACCTGGATGGCATTACATTTTCATTCACACCCTCCGATGGCTCCCAACACCTGTGTAATTCAGTCCCAACTTCTCAGTCAGCACTCAGGTCTTCCATGACCCAGCCCAACCCGCCTCCACAGCCCCACCTCCAATCCTCTCCCACACGTGCCCGAGCTCCAGGTGAAGGACTGGCCCTCATCCTCCCCTCCTGCTTCTACCCATTCAGTGCCCTGCAGCTGGCTCTCTCCCTCACCGCTCGCCTCTGCACATGCAGTCATGCTACCGTTCTTCCTGGCTCACCCCAGGTGTCAGATTCTCACTGAAGCCTTCCCAAACAGACGGGACACCCCCGGATTCTGCCCGCCCCCCACCCACAGCACTGCGGTTTACTGTCTGGACAGCCTCCCTGCATTCTACTCTTGTGTTCTGATTACAGGGGTCCCTCTTTTATGAGACTATAAACTCTTCGAGGGCGGGAATCGCAGCTAACTGAGGCTTATACGGCTGAGAGTGAAGTGCCTCACACAGAAGGAGTTGATAAATGGCGGTTATTTGATAAATGAGTGAATGGATGAATTCCTTTCCCGGCTTGTACTTCCCCCAACCCCAGGAACCCCATGTGGACAGGACTGGGACAAAAGAGTTCTCTTTCCAAATACGTATCCCTGAGAAGAAAGGCTCAGGAAGGAAGGGGGGATCCTGCCAGGCTGAGACAACTGTCTGCAGGTGCTTCAGGCTCTTACCTCATACTCAAAGTCACCCCCCAGCGCCCCGATGTCCAGGTGCAGGTTCCTAAGAAGCTCACTTGAGCTGCGAACACTCTGAAAATGAAAATGATGGCAAGCAAACTGGTCAGCCCCGGGTGCAGGCCCAGAAGCTCCTCACAGGTCCAAGAGCTGGGTCAGACCCAGCAGGGATACAGACTGGAGAAACAATGAAGCTGTGGGCTGGAAAACCGCTTTCACTTATATTCAAAGTAGCACAGAGATTAAACCAGAAGGTGAAAACAGCTCAAGTACCCACCAACAGATGAACGACTGAATGGAATGTGGTAATTTCATACAATGAAATACTATCCAGTCACATGTGCTACAAAACACTATGCTACATGAAAGAAGCCAGACACACAAGAGGACAAAGACAGTATGATTCCACGTATATAAAATATCTAGAACATGCAAATTCAGAGAGACAGGGAATAGACCAGGGACTGGGGAGAGGGGAGGATGCAGAGTTATTGTTTAATGGGTACAGAGAGTCTCTGGGATTATTAACAAGCTTTGGAGACAGATGGTGATGAAGACTGTATAACACTGTGAAGGTATTTAAGGCCACTGAATTGTACACTTAAAACTGGTTAAAATGGTAACTTTCATGGTGTATATATTTGACCACAATTAAAAAAAAAAAAAAAATTGTTTTTTTAATGGCCCAGAGGATTTTCAGGCCAAGAAAAGGATTCATTCTTACCTGGTTGTCACTGTCTGCCTCATCCTCCTCATTGGTCTCCTGCCCTAAAGCCAACAGGCTGAGAGCATTCTTGTCCTCATGGATGGAGCCCAGGAGACCTTTTGTACAAGCAGAAGGCTTGAGACCCTGTGCCGGCTCCAAAAAGAAGGAAGGTCAAGGCACTTAGTAGGAAGACCCTCAGCATGAGTTCGCCTCTCTCTGTCAAGATAGCGCCTACAGCGAGGCCACCATGCTCGAGAAGCTGACCCAGCAGCTCCAGCTCACAGTGGTCCCTCCCTGTCCAACTCCTACTGCCCTGATCACAGGGACCGGGAAATGAGCCCTGAGTCTCTCTGACCATCCTCCACAGCCCACCCACGTTCGGCATCACCCAGGTGTGACTCACCTTCTTCCACACCATATAATGTGTGTTGAGGAATCAGCCTGTGCCCTGTATTTCTCCATGGGCCACAGCTCCTAGCATGGAACACGGAGGCCCCACGGCAACTAACTATACTGTATACAAGAAAAAAAGCATTTACCAGTAAGTGTTCTCCGAGCTGACCGGACTCCACCGAGCTCCCCAGGCTCACACTCTGAGGTCCACGAAGAGCAGAGGGCGGGGCGTCCACCAGGCCCCTTAACGGGGCCAGGCCCCCGAGAGGAACATGGATGGGGGCTAACGAGGCACCCACGGCCTGGGCAACAGAAAATATCCTGTTAGAAACCCAAGCAACCACAGGGCTCTAAGAGTGTGGAGACGGATATAAAAATAAAACATCTAAATCCTGCCCGCTCAAATTTAAACCACCTCCGTTCAGAGGCTGCTAATGAAACACAACATCCAGAAGTCGGCATTGTGCCAACCATGTGAGAATCATGGGCTTGTTTCCTGATTCTCGTAACTCTGCTGCTATCTCCCAGCAAACGGCTCTTTCACGTCTGGAGAAGCTGCAGAGGGCCCTGCTCTCCCTTCTGAAGCCACAGAGGAAGCTGGGGACGGGGTGAGGAGCAGAGACAAAAGCCTCATCTCCCAGCATGAGAACACTCAATACATAAAGCTGAAAACTGATGAATCAAGAAAAAGCAGCCTAAGCATGTTATTTACAATATGGAAGCAGACACCAGAATAAAGGCATTGCCGTGGTGGAGGTAGGAGGGGTACCCACACTGGAGAACTGCTATATTTTGTTCTGAACCTTTTGGCTTGTCTTGGCATTGTCTAATATGGGCATGTATTACTTTGATTAAAATAAATATTCACTCTCAAAAACACCCATGAGGGTAATTCCCTGGCGGTCCAGTGGTTAGGGCCCCATGCTTCTACTGCAGGTGGCATGGGTTCAATTCCTGCTTGGGAAACTAAGGTCCCACATGCCACACTGCATGGCCAAAGAAAAGTAAAAGAAAAAAGACGCGTGAGCAACAGAAGAACTCTCTTTCTGCTCTCCACTGAGGAGCGAAGGGGCTGTAGAGAGCTCAGCCGAGGACTACAGCGGCCGCTCCTCTTTCGTGTTCTCAGGATGGTGGGCTTCATGCAGGTGAGGACTGGGGAGAGACAGCAGAGAGACGGCAGAATTTGTGAGACTTGGGCCACTCACAGAATCTTGGATTCTCGGTTTACTCATCTGCAAGTCAGAGATGATATGTGCAAGCTACTTAAGGTCTGCTGAGAAGTTCAAATGAGATACTGAATGTAAGAAGCATGCGTACATGGCCCAGACGACCCCAGTGCATGTGTGTGTGGTCCGGGCTACTTCAGGCACGTGTGTGCGTGGCGCGGGCTATCCCAGGGCACGTGTGCATGGTCCAGGTTATCCCAGTGCATGTGTGCGTGGCGCGGGCTATCCCAGGGCATGCGTGCATGGTCCAGGTTATCCCAGTGCATGTGTGCGTGGCGCGGGCTATCCCAGCACATGTGTGCGTGGTGCAGGCCATCCTAGGGCACATGTGTGCGTGGCACGGGCTATCCCAGTGCATGTGTGCGTGGCGTGGGCTATCCCAGCACATGTGTGCGTGGCGCAGGCTATCCCAGGGCACATGTGTGCGTGGCGCAGGCTATCCCAGGGCACGTGTGTGCATGGCGCAGGCTATCCCAGCACATGTGTGCATGCTCCAAGTTATCCCAGTGCATGTGTGTGTGGCCCAGGTTATCCCAGTGCATGTGTGCGTGGCGTGGGCTATCCCAGCACATGTGTGCATGGCGCAGGCTATCCCAGTGCATGTGTGCGTGGCGCAGGCTATCCCAGGGCATGTGTGCGTGGCACGGGCTATCCCAGAGCATGTGTGCGTGGCGCAGGCTATCCCAGCACATGTGTGCGGGGCGCGGGCTATCCCAGTGCATGTGTGCGTGGCGCAGGCTATCCCAGCGCATGTGCGCGTGGCGCGGGCTATCCCAGCGCATGTGTGTGTGGTCCAGGTTACCCTAGTGCATCTGTGTGGCCTGGGCTACCCCAGTGCTATGGAATTGCTATCATGACAGATTCGCATTAGAATGGTCTGGGCTCAGAAACTGAGGCAGGAGAGCATTTTGGTGACAGTTTACAATGAGCTCCTCAAAATCCATTTCTCAAAGTTAAAATGTGTACAAAACAAAAATTCCATTCCTAATCCCACAGTGACTGAAAAGAGAAAGGGGAACCCGAGGGGGTCAAGATGAGAGGTTCAGGTGGCCTGTCTTCTTACCTGCGGCCGGGCCTGAGGCCAGACCATTGGGTGGGTTCCAAACACAACCTGTTTCTGCCCAAGAAGGGAGTTAGACTCTCAGCTGAAAGGTGACATGAGACTGCCCACTGCCCACCACCCCCTCAACCCCAAGCCTTTGTATTGGGTTAGCTAAAAGTTCATTTGGGTTTTTCTGTATCATCTTATGGAAGAAAGCCCAAACAAACTTTCTGGCCAACCTAAAGAGATTCCCAGTCATCTAGCCTGTTGTAGGGTATCTTCTCGAGGCAGAAAAGGAGCTAAAAATAATAAAACTGGCCAACATTGCCTGAGTCCTGGGCTCCTAGGTAAAAGCACCTGTCTCATTCTGCTCTCAGAACCATTGAGGCCCCAGTCCCCACAAAAGCAAATGGAGATTGGTGAGGTCAAGACCTCTGCCTGCCCCAAATCGCGGGGCCAGCAACCACAGGAGTAGATATGAGAGGCAGGGCAGTGTCTAAGCCGCTATCTCACACTGGCTGTGGCGAAAAAGCCCGGGAGAGCTGCTCTGCGGTGCACTCTGAGCAAACCTGGCCAGCTTCTCCCAGCCGCCTAGCCCACCCAGCAGATCAGTGAGCAAAATTCTTCCCACACTGTACTGATGGAAAATTACAGACTCCTGACATGGCTAATTTGCTAACGTGCTGGGGGCCTGAGGGAGGGAGATGGGCCCGCTGAGGGCTTTGTTCTCCCAGGCCTTGACCACATCAGCAGTTAGTAGAGAAATCATACATCCCTGGCTCCTAGCTGATCAGTTTCTATAGATGGCCATTAACTCTGGCTAAGAGCTGTGCATGGCATTGTCCTTCAGAGCAGATAAACTTGCCACCATTGGGCTAATTAAAACTTTGCAGGATAATCTGCAGCTTATCTGATGTTTATAGTGCTATAGGGGTTATTAGAGCTAACGGAGAACCCAGGCATGCCAGCAGTTAGGAACTGAGGTAACAACTGGGTAAAGCCACAGCTGGGCAATAGCAAAAGCAGCCAGGGAATGCAGATAAATCCCATGGTCTGTGATCCTATTTGCCTTCTGAATGAAGAAGGTGGCAATTCTTTAATGGGACAAAGGGCCCCGAATGACAGGGCAAGCCCACTCTTTGGTAGATCCCACTAGGGGAGGACGTGGTCTGTGCAAGCGTGACACAGGCTATTCACATGGTTCTGCAAACCCTGGGAAGGAAGGAGCAGAAGCAACCACAGAGCAGAAGAGAGTCCGGGCTTCAGCCTCTCCTCTCAGGTGGCGCTAGCGGTAAAGAACCTGCCTGTCAGTGCAGGAGATGTGAGAAGCTCAAGTTTGATCCCCGAGTCAGGAGTAGGGAATGGCAACCCACTCCAGTATTCTTGCCAGGAAAATTCCACAGACAGAGGAGTCTGGCGGGCTACAGCCCATGGGATCGCCAAGAGTCGGGACGCAAGGAAGCAACTGGGCACATCATACCGCAGGACAGTACTAACTCTCTGTGCTAAGTCACTTCAGTTGTGTCTGAGTCTCTGTGACCCTCGGCACGGCAACTCACTAATTCTGAGTGATTCCGAGAAGGGACTAAGTTCAGAAGCTGGGGGCAGGGTGTCTTCTTGGGAGGACCTCTCTACACTATCAGCTCACGCGGAAGGCGTCCAAAGCCTGGAACAGTACCTATGTCGTGCAGGAACGCCATGATCTGTGCCACCTTACTCACCCTCAAAACGGATCATCTTCAGAGCACATAAAGCACCCGTGAAGTATGGTCAGATCAAGGGAAAGGAAGTCCAGACACCCTCCGCCCCCATCTTGTAGGTGATGAGGTAGAAGAAATAGGAAATGCATGTCATCCCACAGGATGGCCATCCCAGGTGGCTAAGGGCTCCCTGGTCACCGAGGAAGGACAGACAACAGGAAAGCTGACCTGATGGCTGGGTTCAGACTGTCAGCACAACCTGCTCCCTCCCTGCCAAGTTCACTGGGCCTGAAGGTCACGATGCTCTCTGAGACGCCTACCTGGTCGAGAAGCTGCATCTTGCCTGGCTCTGCCGCAAGCCCTCTGCTGGAACTCAGCTCGACCAGCCCCTGCCTGAGGGGGCTGCTGCCGGGCTGCAGACGAGAGGCCTCCTGCGCGGCCGGGGCAACGTCCACTTCTGGAGGACGCTCCTGTGGCTCCGGCCCCCAAGGCAGAAGCCCAGAGTCCGTGGCTCTGATGGCCTCGTGCTCAGCCTCGCCAGACAGCCTGGAAGACTCGGCAGCCAGGCAGCAGATCATGCTGGCCAGATCTTGGCCCGACATCTCCTGAGCGCTCTCGGGCAGCCCCAGGCCCTCCAGCCGCCGGGAGATCTTGACCATCTGCAGGATGTGCTGGTAGAACCTCTGGTCCTCAGAGTAGTCTTCGCTCTCTGACGGCTCCTCAGCGGAGCTCTGCATGGGGAGCAGCTGGGGCGCCAAGAAGGCGCTGGGGTGCTGCTCTATGGGCCCGGGGCCTGACTCACCCGCGCCCCACTCAGACCCCCGTGGGCTCTGCAGGTCCCACAGGAAGTTGGTCACCTCCCCCAGGACTTCCGAGCCAAGATGAGAGGCCAGGCTGCTGCTGCTCTCCAAGTCGGGCTCACACCCGCTCGGCCTCCTGTCCTCTTGGGGGGGCTCTGGAGAGCCTGGGAATTGGTTCTCCTCAATGGCAGGAGGCCCCCCAGGAGCACTCCCTGCAGGGGCACTCTGGACCAGTTCTGAGGCTAGGGTATCAGGGGGTATTAGCAACAGCCCCTGGGGTGGACCTCCAGCTGAGGCCCCTGGAGCCTCAGGGTCATCAGGCTCGGTTTCCTTGCCACCCCTGGAGGCGTCCCTGTGGACAAGCTTGGAGACCTGCCCCATCCACAGTCCTGGGGGCTCTCTTCTACTCCTGCCTCTGCCCACGCTCCCCGCTTCCCCAGAAACGCTCTGCCAGCTCTGGTCTTCAGCTGGGTTGCTGTCTAACAAGAACAACTTGCTCTTCCTGGTGAGCATGGGGTCAGAAGAACAAGGGGACAGCGAGGGGGCCTCCTCGGGGGATGGTGAGGGAACGGGGCTCTGGCCTTTGTCCCCCCCAGGGCCAGTGGAGCTCCGTTTGGCCACATCATGCCTGTGCTCCTCCCTTCTCAGCTGCGGGCCCTTGAGGGTCTCCAAAAGCTTCGCATGGACAGAGGCCTGTGTCTTGCTCTCTAATGCATCCTGCCTGTTCTGGAAGGGCCCGGCGTCATCAGGGCCCAGAGCGCCAGGTTTCAGCTGTCTGCTCCTCATCTCCAGCTCTTCTATTTCAGGGTCTGAAAACCCCACGTAGATTTTCTCTGTCAGCGGCTGGGGTTTCTCCAGACCCTGCTGGTCACCTAATTCTGTCCTGCAGTGGGCTGGGGCCCTGCCTAAGATTTTCTCCACGTCGGCAAAGATCTGGTGGGTTCGGGAAGCTTGGCCTTTGAAGAGCGGATGCAACTTGCTGGGCAGAGAGCCCGTGAGAGGCCTGGGGGTGTCAGCCAGCACACACGGGTTCTTCCCTTTCTTAAAGGAGCCCTCAGTTCTAGCCTGCATCTCTCGGTCTAGGTCCAGATCAGCCAGGCCAGGCGCTGGGAGAGGGGATGGGCCACGGAGAAAGGAGGAAGAAGGCAGAAGGCCCTGCTCAGGCTGTGTTTCCTAGACAGGTATGTAAACAGGCAGAGAAAACGAAGACAAAGCTCTGCTGACTTCTACTGGCTACCGGAGCTGCTGGCAAACCCTTAGCAGAAACCCACCCTCCATTCAGAGTGAAAACAGAAACCAAAGAAGGAAGAAAAGCTAAAAACTCCCTTGGGCTTTGTTGTTTTCCAGGCTCTACTTTCCTCATCTACAAAGAGACTTGACTAGATCCATGGGCTCAGGACCCTTGCTCCCCATGGCACCTTGGGGCCACCATAGTGGGTATGTCGTGGGGAAGGAGCATCGCCCAGACCCCCATTCCCAGGTTCAACCAGAGCAGCTCCGCTTCTTTATAGACACTGGTCTTCCACAGAGGAACTGATGTGAAGATGGCGTCACTACTAACAAAAAGGCTGAAAATCTCCAACTAGGTTATCCTGGAGAGACCATCAAGCTCTCAAATCTGTGACTGGTTAATTTCATAAAAATCCACCATTCTTATCAAGGACCATCAGAAATAATCTAAGAAGGGAGGGAAGAGGGGAAACACGAGCAGCGAGCTGAGCCTTGAACACTCAGACTAGGTCTTCTACCAAATGAGCCGGTGCTGCTCAAGAGAGGTCCACACAGCCAGGGAATCTTGGGGTTACAAAAAAAAAAGTCCCCAGGGACTTCCCTGGTGGTCCAGTGGTTAAGAAGCTGCCTGCCAATGTAGGGGACGTGGGTTCAATCCCTGGTCCAGGAAGTTCCCACATGGCGCAGAGCAACTAAGTCCGGACGTCGCCAACTACTGAGCCTGCACGCCACAACAAGAGACGCCACCACAGCGAGAAGCTTATACACTGTGACGAAGAGAAGAGGAGCCCCCAAGAACGCCCACATGCAGCAACGAAGACCTAGTGCAGCCATGAAGAAAGAAAGAAAGAAAAATTCCTAAAAGATCACCTACCTCTCCTCCAGGGAACCCAAACTAGCTGAGCCCGGATCACCCACCTGGTCAGGTCTGCCCCCAAACAAACTCAGCTTTCAGGCACCTGTCCTGAGCCCTAAGATCCAGACTGACAGCCCAGGCCTGTCCACCTGCCCTAAGATCCTGAACCACAGGAGGAATCCTTTGTAACAGGGAGCTCCAGGAACTCAGTCAAATACCCAGAACTAGGTCTATCACCCAACTCTCCAACACAGAACCCTCACTTCATTCCCTCTCTCACCTGCAGTCACGTCAGAGACTACCCAGATGCCAACTGTCATCTAAAATAGGCCCCGGCAGGAATTCGCCAGTGGTCCAGGGGTTAAGACTCCACACTTTCAGTGCAAGGGCAGTGGGTTCCATTCCTGGTCAGAGGAACTAAGATCCCACATGCCTCATGACCAAAAAAAAGAAACTAAAATAGTCTGGGATTAGTGAAAAGTCCATTATCCATCTTCTACCTTGCAAATACATGCCATTAGAAAATCCAACCTCTTTGGAAATGACTTGTCCTCTTTTCTCCACCAGAAGAAATGGGTTTGCTATCTTATTTCTTAGAACCATGACTAGTAATATGGGGTGGGGGTGGGGACACGGGGGAGGCCTATGGGTAGAGCTTGAAAATGATAAAAAGGATAAATTTATCAGCAACCATCCAACATCAGAACTGACACCTTGGGAAGGAAGGCAAATGGAGGAATTTTTGCTGAGAAGTAAGCACCAGGCACCGGTGGGAAATAAAGACCATAAATAAGAGAGCAAATCAACCCGACCATTGAGAGGATTGAGAAGGTATTCCCAGGGCTTCCCACCGGGCTGAACCGGGTTCCCAAGCCCCTCCCTTTCCTCAACGTGGCCCACCGGCCTCTCACCTGGAGGAGGGACACAAAACAACAATGGGAAAGAGCACCTTCAACTCTCGAGTGGAAAAGCTGCTTGGGGAACAAGGTGAGGGCATTGCACTCAAACGTCGGTTTCCGCCACGAACCAAGGACACCGGCAGCAAAGACCACCCTCGGGAGCAGATAAAAAAGCCTCAAACTTCTCTTTTTGGATCTTGAAGGCACTGGTGTTCTGACAACCGAATTATGGCCCATCAGACATCCAGGAATTCGCACCACTGAAACACATGATGAATCCACTCGGGGCAGGCTTGGCTTCGAAAGGAAAGGGGAGGCATACGCTCCTCTAGGCTCTCTGGCCTCCGCCAACTGCTCCCTGTGACCCAACTCTCCACAGAGGCAGACGGCATCAGTTCTCGGACCACTGCAAAACCCTGTCCCCAGTCGGGCACTTGCTCACTAACCTTATTATGTTACATATGCCTCCCAACAGGGAGGAGGGCAGAAATTGCTTAGTGATAGTAAGCACGAGTTCTAGAAGCTAAAAGGAAAATCTGCCAGAAAACAGGTACAATTCAGATGATATACTATCACAAAATTACTGTATTATTCTTGTTGGTCTTAATCTCCCAGCTGTAAACAGCCAGAGGTTCCCAATACCCCCTCAGGTTTCAGGCCTGGTCTCCCTGGGAGCTGGCACCCACTAACTCACCAGGGGACTCTTGGAGGTCTCCTTATCCTTCTTGTCTTTCTTTTCCTTTTTCTTTTTCTTTTCTTTCTTCTTAGTGGCCCCAGGAGTTGACAGCTTGCCCCGTTCTTGGATCACCAAGTTCCGATAGTGTTCATCACAGGGGTGGTCCCACGTGGACTGGCCGTTGGCAAAGTTGAAATAGTAAATGTCACCTGTGATGTCCTGGCTGGGGGATGAGCAGAGGTTACACGTTAGTTCCTGCTCAGGTCCAAAGTGACGTAGGAAAAAAAGAAAAATGGCAAGGAAGCAGAGAAGAAGAAAGAATTGTGGGGATAGGGAAAGAGGGAGAGAGGAGGAGGAAGAGAAGAAAGAGCTAACACAAAATTGGCTAGATTTGGCTAAGAATAAGGAGTTAGGTTAGACAGAGACAAACAATTAGAATATTAAGGATTTCTCATATCGAGATGTTTAATCATTTGGGTTCCTGAGAATTCATGCTAAACTAGAGTAGGGATAAACTTAGTTTTAGATGGATAAATACAAACGCTATGATGTCTTAGAGGTAAATTCTAGGATACACCTTGCTTAATATTTTCATAAATGATCTAAAGAAAAATGATATGTTGTGAAAGCTCTGATTTTGCAAAAGATTCTAAACATATAAGAGGCAACAATCCAAGTTAGTTAGTAGAAAATAAAGTAGAAGGTGGGCCTCAAGAATCTGTTTCATTATGGCTGAAATAAGTCTAAAATAAGTCACTCATCCCATCCACCATTATCAGTAATCCATTAGGACAGCTAATAGGAAAAAACCCATCACAATAACAATGTGAAAGATAAAATACCCAGGAATAAACACAGCATGTGCCAGACCTTCATAAAGTTTTACTGAAAATTCAGGGGAGGAAAAAAACAATTGGTGAGACACCCTGTGTTCCTGAATAGGATTCAAGTCTGTAAACATGACAATAATCCTCAAATAAATATATAAATCCGATACAATCCTAATCAGGCTCCTTATGAAACTCGACCTTGTCTTGGCCAAGAAGCACATGAGAAGATGCTCAACATCACTCAACATTAGGGAAATGAAAATTAAAACCACCATGAAATGCCACTTCACACCCATTAACACAACTATTATCAAAGAGCAGAAATTAACAAGTGCTGGCCAGGATGTAGAGAAACTGGAACTCTGGTATGCTACTGGTGGGAACATAAAATGGTATAGCTAAAGTGAACAACAGCGTGACAGTTCCAACAATGTAACAGAAAAGTTAGAATTACCGGATTTCCCTGGTGGTCCAGTGGTTAAGAATCTGCCTGCCAGTGCAGGGGACATGGGTTCAATCCCTGGTCCAGGAAGATCTCGCATGCCACAGAACAACCAAGCCCGTGTGCCACACCTACTGAAGCCCCTGCACCCTAAAGCCCGTGCTCCGCAACAAGAGAAGCCACCACAATGAGAAGCCCGCGCACCACAACTAGAATAGCCCCTGCTCTCCTCAACCAAAGAATGCCTGCGCACAGCAACGAAGACCCAGCAGAGTCAAAAATAAAAATAAATTTCAAATTTTAAAGATATAGCACTATATTAAAAATCTGAATTACCATATATAAACCAGCAATTCTACCTCTGGGTATACACCCAAAAAACACTGAAAGCAGGAATTCAAACAGGTTATTTGTACACCAATGTTCACAGCAGCATTATTCACATAGCCAACAGAAAGAGAAATTCTCAAGAGGTCAGAAACAGAAAGAAAGCATGAAATCTGAGTAATAAGTGCATGAACTGACAGGTCAAGGTCGGGATCTGACCTCGATATAGGCCCACGGAACCTGAGTTTAAATGCCAACCTAGAACAAAATGTGGCCTTAGGGCATCATAAGTTTGGAAACTAAAACTGAGACCCTAGATATGTCTGGGGTTCTTCAGGCTGTTCTCTCCATGAATAAAAGGACCCAGTGGGCCACAGAAGTAGCAAGGAAGTACATCACCCACTCCAGGTTCTAGGTGAGGAAAATAAAATTTAATGAAAAACTGAAACCCCAAGACATATGTAGATAGAGTCCAAAATGTGGTAAGAAAATGCCAGATCTGGGAAATTAACATAAAAATTGAATCCTAAAGCACTAAAAAAATCCTTGACAGAAACCACTGTAAGGCTACTCAACAACCCAGGAATGAAACACTCACAGAAAATAACCTCTGCAGAAAATGAATTCACAAAATGCACAATAAATAATTACAAACCATGTGAGGAAACACTTAACCATGAGGGAAAATCAGTAACACAATGAAAAGAAGAACTGAGAGTAGAACAACCAAAGAAGACTAAAAATAATGATATTTTAAATTATTGGAGGGATAAAGGAAGAGAATCCATAATGAAAGAACAGAACTCTTTAAAAATAAATAAATAAACCTACGCATATTGAAAAGAACATAAGGGGACTTCCCTGGTGGTCCAGTGGTTAAGACTCCATGCTCCTAATGCAGGGGGCCTGGGCTCAATCCCTGGCCAGGGAACTAAGATCCCACATGCCACAACTAAGCCCACACACCACAACTAGAGAAGCTAGCATGCCACAACAAAGACCCACTGCAGCCAAAATGAAAAATAAAATTAAAAAAAGAACATAAGAGAACTTGTAGGAATTAGTAGTCATTAAATTCAAAACAAACAAATCAAAAAAAAAAGAACACATTGATTAAGCAGCAGATTTGACACAGAAGAAACAAACAGTGGACTGGGAAATATATATGCTAAAGAAAATTATAAAGTCATTTTTAAAATATGAAACGGAAGTTAAAAGACATGGTGGATAAAAATAATTAGGTCTAATATATTTATGGTAAGAGTTCAGAAAAGAAAGTGATAACGGTTGAGAAGTTTTCAAAATTGAAGAGAGACATGAGTCCTCAGTAAGAAAGCATTTCAATTCCTGGACACAGTAAATAAAAGTGAATCCACACTTAGATACATTGTAGTGAAATTACAGGACACCAAAGATTAAAAACAAAATGATGAAAACAACCAGAGGGGGGAAAAATTGATTACCTACAGAGGAACAACTAATAAAACCAAAAAACATGTCTTATTAGCGAACCCAGCAGACAGAAGATAAAGGTATACAATTTACAATATTATCAAAGGGCTGTTTGACAAATCTGTATGCAACTAAACCATTATTCAAGAGTGAGACCAGGAAATTCCCTTGTGGTCCAGTGGGAAGAACTCAGCACTTTCACAGTCAGGGCCCCGGATCAACCCCTGGGTGGGGAAGAGACACAGGACACAGGAAGATCAACACATTTGGCATGCCTGGTGAAAAGGACATTTAAGAAACAGAAAGAGACTCACAGACGTAGGAAACAAGCTTGTGTTTACCAAAGCGGGTGGGGAAGGACACATTAGGAGTTTGGTGTTAACAGATACAACAAGGTCCTGCTGTTAGCTCAAGGAACTGTGTTCAACATTCTTGAGTAAACCATAATGGAAAAGAACATAAAAAAAATTATACATATACATATATATACACATACACACACATGTATATAACTGAATCACTTTGCTGTATACCAGAGACTAACACAAAACTGTAAATCACTATACTTCAATCTAAAAATGAGAGACCACATTCTTATCAAGCACATATAAAACACTTAGACAAGCAGGAACAATTACTGAACCAGAATTCTGTAACAGCATGTAACAAAGAATAGATATATTGAACAAATAAAATTGGAAATCAATAATTTAAAAAATACCCAACTCTATCTCATCTCCTTCAAGCTATTATTTTGGAGAAAAGATACTTAACAAAATTTTAATAAATGAAATCCAATAATATGTAACCATTATCAACCAGTTTACCCCAAGAAAGGTCGGTCGGTCTAACAACTGGAAGCCAATCAATATAACTGACCGTATTAACAGACCAATGTAGAAAAATCATGATTCTTTGGTATATGCAGATGCATATATAGACGTAGAAAAAAATATTTAACAAAATTCAATATCCATTTCAGATTTAAACTCTCAGCAACCTAGGAATACAAGGCAACTTCTTCATCCTGACACAGGACATTTAGAAAACCCTACAGTTAACCTGGCTAAAATCACACTTAATGGTGAAAGACTTAAGGGGAATGCTTCCCCTTAAGATCAGAAATAAGCCTAAAATGTTCATCGTCACCATTTCTATTCAACTTTATTAAAGGTTCCAGTCAGTGCAATAAGGCAATAAATAGAAATATAAGATATCCATGTTAGAAAAGAAGATGAAAAAAATGTCTTCATTCCCAGAAGACATATTATCTACGTAGAAAATTCTATAGAATCTACAAAAAAAAGCTATTAGAACTAACGTAAGTTTAGCAAGGTTGCAGGCTAGAAGATCAGTATACAAAAACCAATTTTATTTTATATGAATGCAACCAACACTTGGAAATTGACATTTTAAAAAATAACATTTATAAACATAATGGAAAAGCATGTGAAAAAGAATGGATGTATATTTATAACTGAATCACTTTGCTGTGCAGAATTAATACATCATAAATCAACTATACTTCGATAGCAAAAATAAACACAAGATACCAGAAGCATCAAAAAAGGAGATAAATCTGACAAAATATGGGCAAGATGTGTAAACTAAAAACTATAAAAGATTTCTTAGCAATATTAAAGAAAGCCTAAATAAATGGAAACATACTGTGTTCATAAGTTGGAAGACTCAATGTTGTTTAAAATGTCAGTCCTCTCAAACTGATTTATAGATTCAGTGCAATTTCAGTCAAAACCCTAAACAGGATTTTTTATAGAAATTGACAAGCTGATTCTAAAATTCATACAGAAATGCAAGGGACCTAGAATACAACTTTGAAAATGGAGAACAAAGTTGCAGGATTTACTCTAAATGATATTAAGATTTATAATAAAGCTACAGTAACCCTGACAGCATGATATTTGTGTAAGGTAAACAAATAGACCAATGGAAGACAACAGAGAATCCAGACCTGGAAGGCATTCCCCAAGTGACAGCAGTTACTCACGGGATTGGGTGTAACGGTGAAAGAGGACACATGTACATAGGCTTCTTTTTTTTAAGTAGGAAGTAGAAATAAGTTTATAGAAATGAGATAATTTTTTCAGTACACAGCATGATGATTTGATAAACTTCTTTACTATGAAATGATTACCACAGCAGGGTTAGTTAACGCCTCTGATACCTCCATAATCACCATTTCTTTTCTGTGGTGAGAATATTTCAGATCTGGGACTTCCCTGGTGGTCCACTGGCTAAGACTCCATGCTCCCAGTGCAGGGGGCCTGGGTTCGATTCCTGGTCAGGGAACTAGATCCCACATGCCACAAGTAAGAGTTCGCATGTAGCAATAAAGACCCACGTGCTGCAACTAAGACCCAGCACAGCCAAATAAATATATGAAAAAAAAAGAAAAAGAATAAAGAGATTAATGATGAGGCAAATGTGGCTAACACGATGGATACTGGAGGCCAACAGAAACCACTACCTACAAACACAACCATGAAGCCTCAGCACCTGGAATACCATGCACAGTGCTGGTGGCTTTCCTGCAAGAAAGATGTCATGAACTGGAGAAGGTCCAAGGAAAAGTGGCCAAAAAGGTCCAGAGAACAGGGAACATGCCAAGCAAGAAGAACTGGAAGGATTAGGCCTCTGAAGAGTGATGAGTGAGGCTACAACTGCAGTCATTTTGAAGCATGGCCAATGCATCCAGTGGTTCAGGAAAGAAGAGAATAATCACACCTTGTACACACAACTGCACAATCCCAGCAGAAGACACGACCCCCCCCTCCCCCACGGACATCTGAGGGCTAGTGTGGGACAAACAGGAAATCCCATTCTTTGGTACAAAACTCGGGTCACTTACTGTAGGGAGGCGGCGTGGAGAGAGCTCTGTGTACGTGAGGAAGACAGAGCTGTGTCTCCAAGAGTGAAAATCCTGGTGGCGGGGGCGCAGAGGTGGATGGCAGCGGCTGCCCCACCTCAGCCAGTCTGATCCTCACCATCAGCCTCTGCTCACCCGAGATGACCTGAGCGAATGCCTGCTCCTCACAGTTCAGAGCTCAAACTGAAACTGGAAACACGGACCCATTCATGAACAGGTCACACAAGTTCAGGGCTGGGCTGTGCAGGGAGACAGAAACCGCTGCCGGTCCGTGTCGCAGCACGCAAACCTCTCCAGCGCCAGCATCCACTCTGGACATGCGGAGGAGGTCCCAGTGCTGTCCTCTCCATCTCAGTCTGCAAAGAACAACGACACCTCCTCCGTGTGCCTGAAGCAGATGATGGCGCTCGAGAGCTTGATGCAGGCAGCAACTGAGATCCTGGGATCCTCCGGGGACCAGAAAGCTAACCTGGTTGCTGTTGTCCAGTTGCTCAGTTGTGTCCGACTCTGCAACTCCGTGGACTGGAGCACACAGGGCTTCCCTGTCCCTCACCATCTCTCAGAGTTTGCTGAAACTCATGTCCATTGAACCAGTGATGCCATCCAGCCATCTCATTCTCTGCTGCCCCTTCTTCTCTGGCCTTCGAGCTTTCCCAGCATCAGGGTCTTTTCTAATGAGTCCATTCTTTACATCAGGTGGCCAGAGTACTAGAGCTCCAGCATCAGTCCTTCCAGTGAATATTCAAAGTTGATTTCCTTTAGGACTGACTGGTTTGATCTCCTTGCAGTCCACGGGACTCTCCAACATCACAGTTCTTCTCCAACGTTACAGTTTGAAAGTGTCAATTCTTCAGCGCTCAGCCTTCTTTATGGTCCAACTCTCACATCTACATGACTACTGGAAAAACCAGAGCTTTGACTATATGGACCCTTGTCAGCAAAGTAATGTCTCTTCTTTTTAACATGCTGTTGAGATTTGGCATAGCTTTTCTTCCAAGGGGCAAGCGTCTTTTAATTTCAAGGCTACAGTCACCATCTGCAGTGATTTTGGAACCCAAGAAAATAAAGTCTGTCACTGTTCCCATTGTTTCTTCATCTACTTACCATGAAGTGATGGGACTGGCATGTGCTGGATCATCAAAAAAGCAAGAGAGCTCCAGAAAAACATCTACTTTTGCTTTATTGACTACACCAAAGCCTTTGACTATGTGGATCACAATAAACTGTGGAAAATTCTTCAAGAGATGGGAATACCAGACCACCTGACCTACCTCCTGAGAAATCTGTATGCAGGTCAAGAAGCAACAGTCAGAACTGGACATGGAAAGGAGTACGTCAAGGCTGTATATTGTCACCCAGCTTATTTAACTTGTATGCAGAGTACATCATTTGAAATGCCAGGCTGAATAAAGCACAAGCTGGAATCAAGACTGCTGGGAGAATTATCAATAACCTCAGATACACAGATGACACCACCCTTATGGCAGAAAGCGAAGCATAACTAAACAGCCTCTTGATTAAAGTGAAAGAGGAGAGTGAAAAAGTTGGCTTAAAACTCAACATTCAGAAAACTAAGATCATAGCATCTGGTCCCATCACTTCATGGCAAACAGATGAGGAAACAATGGAAACAGTGAGAGACTTTTTTTGGCTCCAAAAAACACCATCACTGCAGACAATGATTACAGCCATGAAATTAAAAGACACTTGCTCCTTGGAAGAAAAACTATGACTAACCTACAAAGCATATTAAAACGCAGAGATGTTACTTTGCCAAAAAAGGTCTGTCTAGTCAAAACTATGGTTTTTCCAGTGGTCATGTATGGATGTGAGAGTTGGACTATAAAGAAAGCTGAGTGCCGAAGAATTGATTCTTTTGAACTGTGGTGTTGAGAGTCCCGTGGACTGCACGGAGATCAAACCAGTCAGTCCGAAAGGAAATCAGTCATGAATATTTATTGGAAGGACTGATGCTGAAGCTCCAATACTTTGGTCACCTGATGCGAAGACGTGATTCATTGGAAAAGACCCTGATGCTGGGAAAGATTGAAAGCGGGAGGAAAAGGAGGACAACAGAAGATGAGATGGTTGGATGGCATCACCAATGCGATAGATATGAGTTTGAGTAAACTCCGGGAGTTGGTGATGGACAGGAAGGACTGGCATGCTGCAGTCCACGGGATCGCAGAGTCACACACGACTGAGCGACTGAACTGAACTGATGGGACCAGATGCCATGATCTTCTTTTTTTGAATGTTGAATTTCAAGCCAGCTTTTTCACTCTCCTCTTTCATGTTCATCAAGAGGATCTTTAGTTCCTCTTCGCTTTCTGCCATAAGAGTGCTATCATCTGCATATCTGAGGTTATTGATATTTCTCCCAGCAATCTTGATTCCAGCTTGTGCTTCATCCAGCCCAGCACTTTGCATGACATACTCCGCATGTAAGTTAAAATAAGCAGGGTGACAATATACAGCCTTGATGTACTCCCTTTCCAATTTGGAACCAGTCCATATTCCCATGTCCAGTTCTAACTGTTGCTTCTTGAACTGCTACAGGTTTTTCAGGAGGCAGATAAGGTGGTCTGATATTCCCATCTCTTTAAGAATTTTCCAGAGCTTTTTTCGTGATCCAAACAGTCAAAGGTTTTAGTGTAACAATCAACGAAGCAGATGTTTTTCCTGGAATTCCCTTGCCTTTTCTATGATCCAACAGATGTTGGCAATTTGATCTCTGGTTCCTCTTTTTCTAAATCCAGTTTGAACATGTGAAAGTTCTTGGTTCATGTACTGCTGAAGCCTAGCTTGGAGAATTTTGAGCATTAACTTTGCTAGCATATGAAATGAGTGTAATTGTGTAGTGGTTTGAACATTCTTTGGCATTGCCTCTCTTTGGGAAAAAAAGAAAGGTGACCTGGACTCTGGCCCAAAGAGGCCAGAGGGATGGCCCACTGCTGTTCTCAATTCTATGCAGGACAGGCTTCAAAAGGTGGCCAAAGGATTTCCCTGGTAGTCCAGTGGCTAAGACTCCGTGCTCCCAATGCAGGGGGCCCAGGTTCAATCCCTGGTCAAGGAACCAGATACCACATGCCACAACTAAAATCAAAGACTCATAACTAAGACCTGATACAGTCAAATAAATAAATAAAAATGAATATAAAAAAAAAAAAAAGGTGACCAGTTAAAGCTGATCTCCTCCCTCCACCACACAGGCCAAGCCAGAGGGCTGCACCCATGCTGAACTCACCATGGTTTCCACTCCACAGGCAATGGGGCCACAATGCCCTCCCGCGCCAGCCACATCAGCTCTGGTTCCTTTATGGGATCAATACCAATCTCTCTGGCAAATTCAAGAATTTCTGCAAGGAGGAGCAGGGGGGTGGCAAGGTGAGAGAGATAAGAATGGGAGGGGGTGGATACAAAGAAGGAAAAATCACAATCAGTCTTGGGAGATAATGAGAGAGATATATTGGTCTCTGCCCCTGTTCCAGCTAATATTTGGTCTTTGGCCCCAACTCCTACATCTTGTGGAATTTCCTGAGGGATGGGAGGGTCTTCCGTCCCAATGAGGCGACTCTGGGTGGGCTCCTGGGTGTGACCTGGTCACCAGAAAGACCAGTCATGATTAGAAGCTTGGAACTTTCAGCCTCACTGCCCGCATTCTCTAGAGAGGGGCTATAAAATGAGTTAGTAGGTGATCATACCTACATGACGAAGACTCCATAAAAATCCCTAAACTCGGGTTCAGATATCTCCCGACACTTTCACATGCCGAAGAGTAGCACATCCCAGCTCCATTGGGACAGGAGCTCCGGCACTTGGGACCCTCTCAGGTCTCGCCCTATGTATCTCTTCATCTGGCTGTTCACCTTTACCCTTTATCCTATCCTTTTGGGGCTTCCCTGCTAGCTCAGCTGGTAAAGAATCCGCCTTCAATGCAGGAGACCCCAGTTTGATTCCTGGGTCGGGAAGATCCCCTGGAGAAGGGATAGGCTACCCACTCCAGTATTCTTAGACTTCCCTTGTGGCTCAGCTGGTAAAGAATCTGCCTGCAATGAGGGAGATCTGGGTTCAATCCCTGGGTTGGAAAGAGAAGAGAAATGCCACTCCAGTATTCTGGCCTGGAGAACTTCATGGACTGTATAGTCCATGGGGTCACAAAGAGTCAGACATGACTGAGCGACTTTCACTTTACGGGTCATCTCAGCAGAAGATTTTGGAGGCTGACATAGCCAGGGACTAGGAAAGGCAAAAGGGACCAGCTGAAATGTAGCTAGCCAAGGACTATGAGTTCAATAATTTCACAAATATCTTCTGAGTACCTTCTATGTGCCAGTCACCATGTGCCAAGACTACAAGAAAAATGGCCTCTGTCCTTATGGAGCTTACATGCTGGTAGAAGAAACAGCCAATAATGACATCAACAGATAAATATACAAGGAAGTAAAGCTTCTGATAAACATAATGAAGGCAGTAAGTGGGGTGCAAGACTGAGACTGTCAAGGTAGAGGGACACTCCTTTAGAATGAGTGGTCCAAAAATTTCCCAGAATGGTGACGCTTAACTAATTCTGTGGGAAACAGAGGAGCCAGGCGTGCAAGACACTGAGCAAAGAGCTCTTAGGCAGAAGAGCAGATGCAAAGGGCCTGCGACACATAGCAGGCTGGCCTGTCTGGGGATGGCCAGAAAGGCCGTGTGCCTAGTACAGGGAGAGACAGGCGCTGAGTCAGCCCGGCCAGGTGGCAGGGCCGGCTCATACAGAGTCCTGCACATCCCACTGAGGGCGCTGTGCTGAGAACAGTGCAAGATCATATGGAAGATTATGAAAAGCAGAGCCCTGACAGGATCCGCTTCACACTGCGCGCTCACTCTGGCGCTACGTGGAGCACAGACTGCAGGCGGAGGAGGAAAAGCAGGGAGGCAGACTGGGAAGCGGCTGCGAGCCCAGGAACAGAAAATGGGGGCTCAAACTCAGGATGTCTGCACAGGACTGAGCAGAAGAGAGGTTTTTTAATAAAAATCCTGAAAAAAAGTTAGACCCCTTTCACAACAGCAAACCAAAAAGAATAAAATATTTAAGAAATAAGCTGAGGGGACTTCCCTGATGGATCAGTGGTTAAGACTCCACATTTTCAAAGCAGGAGATGTGGGTTCAATCCCTGGTTGAGGAACTAAGATCCCACATGTCACACAGCACAGCCAAAAAAAAAAAAAAGAAACAAACAAACTGAGTAAGAGGTGTGCAAAATCAAAATGAAGAAAACTTCCAGTTACCCCTGAAGAAAACAAAAAAAGATGCAAACGGAAAGGAATAGATGTTCTTTGATAGGAACCCCCAGGTTGACCTGGATGCATAACATAACTGCACAGAGATGGCAATCCTCCGCAGGCTCATTCATAAATTTAACACAGTTTTCTCTAATTTTTTTCTACTAACAGTTCCCCCAATACACAACCCTCCCCAGAAAGACAGGAAGATTATAAAGTCCATGGGGAGATAAAGCAGACAAGATAACCAAGAAAACTTTGAAGAAAGAAGGGCATTTCGGCCTTACTAGATACTGGAAGGCTTATAACTTGAGCCTCAGTAATTCAGAGCATAGCTCTGTATGAACAGCCTCCCTCAAAGAATAGAAGAGAAAGCAGACCCTCATGCACAAATGTGGCACTCAACCAGTGGGTGAAGGATGAGCCATTCAGTGAGCAGTGTGGAGACAAACCTAAGGAAAACCTGAGAGCAGGGGAGCTTCACATGATCAAAATTCAGGGGCCATATGAGAACTGACTTATAAATTTAACACAAAGATTAAAAATTTCTACATAGCGAGACTCCCCTGGTGGTCCTGTGGTTAAGGCTTTGTGCTTCCATTGCAGGGGGTGCAGGTTTGGTCCTTGGTTGGGAACGAAGATCCCACGTGCCACACAGAGTGGCCAAAAAATTTTTTTTTTCAATTTGAATTTCTTCATGGCAAGCAAACAATAATCCTATGCTATATAACAAATCCTATCCTATCCTATCAGATCCACAGACACAACAGTTCTTCCCCCAAACTGGCTCACAAACCATCTGAACTATAAGCAAAATCTGTGTGTCCAGGTCTGCAACTCAGGTGAAATTCAAAGAAATCTTCACCCATCAAAATAGCATGGTGTTTCACAGTGAAGGCCCTGGAATTTGAAGACCTGGGTGTGGATCCTCACTGCCCTGTAGTAAACTGTATGACTATTAGGAAGTGACTTAACCTTTTGGTGCCTTGGTTTCCTCATCTGTAAAATGGGATAATAATAGTGCCTCAATCATGGAGTTGCTATGAGGGTTGAAAAGGAAATAACATGTAAAGTTCTTTTGTAGAGAGACTGGCACATGGTAGCACTCAATAAATTGTGTTGTTATTTTTACTAATAATGCTATTGTTGTTTTAAAAAAACACAACCACTTCCTGGTGGCTCAGACTGTAAAGAGTCCACCTGCAATGCAGGAGACCTGGGTTCAATCCTTGGGTTGGGAAGATCTCCTGGAGGAAGGCATGGCAACCCACTCCAATATTCTTGCCTGGAAAGTTTCAGGACAGAGGAGCCTGGAGGGCTACAGTCCATAGGTTGCAAAGAACTGGACAGACTGAGCGACTAACACACTTTAAGAAACTGAGTTTCCCCTAGCCTCAGGGCATACTGTATTTTATGATATCCTCCACCATATTTTCATTTAAAATTAATCACTGATCCGACCCAAGGTCACCAAATTTTTTCCATAAAAAGTAAATATTTTAGGCTCTGTGGGCTGTACAGTCTCTTGTCACAACGACTCAATACTGCCCCTACAGTGTGAAAGTGGCCATAAACAACACATAAACAGGTAAGTGTGGCCGTTTTCTAATAAAACTTTTTACAAAAGCAAGCTACAGGCCAGGTGAGGCCCATGGGCTATAGTTTGCCAGCCCTGGATGTAACCCAAAGATACCGAAAAGCCCCGTGCACGTTCCCTCCTCTACATTAGAAGAACGAAAATTAAATCAGCAACAACTGCCCTCACAGAACCATCACGACACCCCCGGGGCCTCTTACCATGCTCGCTGGGGATGTAGTTCTCATCATAGTCTTCCTCCAGAACCAGCTGGTCTCCTATGCGGATGGGTCTCCCGGCCATGATCGGTCTGGGCTCCAACGCCTAGATCCCCGACCCAGAAAGAAAAATCAGTGCCCCAGCTTAGAAGCGGAGAAGCTAGAGCTGGTCTTGGGGCACCTGGGCAGCCCAGCTCCTACAGGCCAGCTGGGCCAGAAAGGAGGTTTTTCCAGAGACTGGGGAGAGTGGAACAGGGAACCAACAGCTCAGAACTTACAGGCCTTTTAGGCTCTGTACCTGGGAAAGTTCCTGGAGACACACCTCCCCCAAAACCTTGCTGAAGACTCCATGGACCACAAAAGTTCTGGAAACCCAGCTCTCTCAAGGATTTGATGTCATACACTTGCCCACAAAGATGAGTAAGAACAAACAGCCTTGACCCCTGCTAGAAAACCCTAGTGAGACACCAAAATAACTAGCAGCACACGCATCCCCATACACCAGTGTGCCCCAGTGCACTCAGGCTGTCTCATCATGTGGCCCTATTTGCACATCCCTACTGACATTCAGCGAAGCCCTCAGGGAGCTTACAGTCTAGTGGAGGCAGGCACACAGCTTCACCAGCAGTAGAAGGCAGAAGAGAAAAAACACATGCTCTGGGGAGCATTAAGAAAGAGGTCAGACACTCCCAGTGCAGGGATGAAGGCAGACTTTGTTAAGGAACCGGGTGCAGAAGGCTGACAAGAGTTCTGAGAGCAGAGAGAAGAACCCAGGCAGAGGGAACAGCCTCTGAGGCAAGGCATTATGCAGCGCCAACGCCAGTGTGCATGGCAGGGACCACGGGGAAGCCAGGCCCGGTCATGGAGAGCTTGGTGGATGATGCTGAAAGGCCTCGACTCTGCCCTGTAGCAGAGGGGAGTCACTGAGGGCTTTGGTGGAAGAAAGCAACACAGAGTGGCCTTTTTTTCCAAGATGAGAACTTCGGCAGGAGTGGCCTGGCCGGATTGGAGAAATGAGAGACTAGCGTCAGGAAAATCACTAGAGAGGCTACGGTTCCCAGGAAAGATGATGAGGGCTTCAGCTAGGGCAGAAGCAGTGGGAATGGAGAAAAAGGGATAGATACAAGGGATGATGTGATGCTCGGTTTAACAATGACAGAGTCAGTTCCTAGGCAGGTTGATAGGAAGCCCGGGATTCCTGAGGAGGAGAGGCGGGTCTGGGGCTCTGGAATTCTCAAGGAGGAGGAAAGGACAAACACCTTTTATTCTCTACATTCCTTAGTCTTAGGCACCTAAAACACTTTTTTCTCTTTAAGCCTGGAACCGATGATTACATAGCAAACAACTCAGTTTAAACTTTGTAATAAGGATAATATCACAACAATGTATCCTGCTTGAGGACAGCTTCTCCTTACTGAAAACCTTCTGACTAATCCTGTTATCTTAAAATGTACATTATGGGAGTGGGTCTAGTAAGATCTTTACAACTTTGACACATTCTTTTGATTTATTGCAATAACTAATTTAAAAAGTATACAACTCCCTTGCTTAGACTAGCAAGAGGGGCATTCTCCATTCCCCTTCTGATGTCTATGTCAGAAGCTTTTGAAGTCCCTTTTCACTTGAATAAAACTCTGCTACACAAAAGTTCTTGAGTGATCAAGCCTGGTCCCTGGTCCCCAAGTTAAATCTTCTTCAGAGATCACGAATCCCACACCGTTCACCTAAGCTATCAATCAGACAAGGATGGGGGTGGGGCGGGGGCAGGAAGAGTGGAAAGGAACCCAACCTGAATGCAAGGTTTCTAGCTCAGGGACGGGGCAGTACCACATTCTTCAACTGACAGGCTGGTGTGGTTCCAGACCTGTTCCTCCCTTCGCATCCCTGCTCCTTCAACAACCTCAGGACCCCAGGTCACAGCACCAGTCCCCTGTGGGAGCTCGCACACTGAAGCCTGACGATGTCGGGACAAGTCAGCCTGTAGCATGTGCAGACAGCCCCACTGAGGCAATGTCAGCCATCCCACTGTGACCAAAGGGAGCCTGGAGGAACTTTCTGACATCTGCAGCCGCCTCTTCAGAAGCAGGCAGTGTTCACCTGGGGCGGCGAGCATGACGCAGCCCTCGCAGCAGGGGAGTGAGCAAACAGACCTAATCGTCAGAAAGGAGGCCGGGATACAGCTCATAAAGAATGGTCAGGAAATGGCCAGGTCAGTGACTCTGAATCCGCTCCAAGATTTCTGGAGGAGGGTCCCTGATAAACGCAAAGGACCTCTGAAGGACCATTCCGTAGCCCCTGCTGTGCCCTGGCAGGTGAGAGATGGACAAGGGAGGTGTCTTGCCTTAGGACTCAAAGAAGATGGTTCCAAGACTTCCCTGGTGGTACAGTGAAGAATCATCCACCTGCCAATGCCAGGGATACAGGTTCGACCCCTGGTTTGGCAAGATCCCAGATGCCACGGGGCAACTGAGCCCAAGTGCCACAACCACTGACGACCGCATGCCTAGAGCCCGTGCGCCGCAACAGGAGAAGCCACCGCAATGGGAAGCCCATGCACTGCAGCTGGAGAGCAGCCCCTGTTCATCACAACTAGAGAAAGCCCAGGTGTAGCAACGAAGACCCAGCACAGCCAAAAATAAGCAAAAACGCTTTTTAAAAAAGATGTTTCCCTGTGTCTGTCACTGGACCCAATGGAGCGACCTTTTGCCACCCATCATTCCCACCATGACACCTCCAAGCAGTAACTTAGGGCCTCAGGAAGAAAGGCTAAAGCAAGCAGCTTTCATCCTGGCAGTACTTAAGCCCAAGTGAGATGCTCTCTCCCTCCCCTAAGAACACATAACACCTGTGGATGTAATGCTTGTAATGCGCCCCCATGCAGTCTACAATAAGTAGGGCCCCGATGTGGAAAAAGCAAAGCAAGAAAGTACTGAGAACCAGGGCAGCAGAACGTGGTCCACAGGCTGGTGGCTTAAAGAGATCTCAGAATCTTTAATCCTGAGTCAGAGAGGAGAGGGAAAGGAAAGAAGAAAGGATCTCTACGGGTGGAGGAATCACAGTGGCCTGAACATCAGGCTGTACCTTATTCAATTCAACAGGCAGTGATCTATACAAGGCACTGCACCAACTAACTCAGGGAATCTGAGAAGTTCTGCCTTTCACAGACTTCCCTATCCCTAGACACATGCCATCTCCAGAAAGAAGGGGCAGGTAAAAATCTCTTGTCTTCCTGGCAAAATGCCTCATTAGCTACTTACAGAACTGTCTGTGTTTAACTATTTATAAAGTTCAGGAAGAATGTGGAAAATCTAAATTCCTGAATCACTCAAATGTCAAACAAATCTTCTGCCGAAAAAAAAATTAAAATGTGAGATGTCTATTTCCTAGCTTCAGGAAAGAGGTAGGCAAGGACAGGGTGAAAAGAACAGGGATTGCAGGATTGCGGAAGGTAGTGGAAGAGAAACCATATTCGTTTAATGGCAGCTGGAGATCACTTATTCATTCAAGAAATACTGGGTTGGCCCAAAATGTGCGTTTGGATTTTCCCTTAATACCCTACAGAAAAACCCAAATGAACTTTTTGGCCAATCCAGTATTTATTTATTGCTGGGCACTGGAGAGGCGATTAAAAACAGATTCAGTGGCTACTCCCCTGGAACTGGTCTAGTGAGGCAAGGAGACAAACCAGTCATAGAAAAGTGTATAATTTTAACTGGGGAAGAGCTCTGAAGGAAATGTGCCCGATTTAGATGAAGCCCGTGCTGAGAAGTGAAGAGTGAATAGGTAGTCACCAGACAAAGAGAGGAGATAAAGGTGTTCTAACAAAGCAGCAGCAAGTGCAAAGGCCCTCCAACAGGAAAGAACCCTAAGTGAGGAGAAGGGCTGTCAGAGACGACGCTGGGCAGATGGGTTGCAGCCAAGCCACGCCAAGAACTTGGCTTGGAAGGTCCAGAGAGCTGGAAGTCAGGAAAGGGTTTTCCAGATACACATTTTGAAAGACCCTACTCCAGGAGCCACTGGAAATACAGACAGAAACGGAGGCCAGGTTGGAAAGAAGAAAATCAGAGTAGCTGCAGAGTGATTAGGGAGGAAACCATAAGCCAATCTAGATGAGACAGCGCTGTCAACCTTGGCACCCTTGACGAGGCTTCAGGACTGTCGACACTGCACTCCATGCAGCCCTTACCAACCAGGCAAATGAAACCTGATGACATGGGCATGCCACCAGGCCTGACACTCACTGAGCCACAGAGCTTCGGGGGAGGGTCACCCAGCTGTCCTCACCCATCCCTGCCAATCCCAGAATCTAGCAAAAAAAAAAAAGAATGGCTCATATACCTCCTCCAGGAAGCCCTCCCTGACTAACCTCAGCCTCTCCTGTCAACTTACAACCACTCCAGGACAAAGCACACAGGTTTTCTTGTGTTCATAGGCATATAATTTTCCACATGACCTCTTCCATGGGGATGTGTTCTACCTCTCCTGTTAAACCACAGACTTCTGAGGCCATGCCTCTGCCTCCTTCTGCATTTTGCAACCAAGCCTAAAATAAGCTATGTAAAGGTAGGAGCTCAGTCACTGCTCTAAACCACTAACAGACAACCGAGGATCTCAAAAGCCAGAAGAAAATCACAGGAGCTTTGGTCCAACTGTGCTTCCCACGCCAAAGTTCTCCTCTGTGCTTTGTGGCAGGCAGCATTAATGGTCGAAGCACCAGTTTGGGGGCCAGAAACAGGGGAATTAAATCCCATCTCCCTTGCTTACTAGCTGTTTGACCTTAGGCAAGGTACTTCCCCTTCTCTAAGCCTCAACAACCTCATGCACATAACTCAAACAGCCATGATAATCTACCTCAAAAGGCTGTTTGAAGATGAAACAATACTTGTACTGAGCGCAGTTTCTGATACACAAAATACGTTAAAAAAATTTAGCAGTATTACTGATATTACTGCCAATTCCACAGTTAGATCATTCTTAACTATTAAACGGTCTTTCTCACGTTAAGCCAAAAATCTGTTTCTAAGAAACTTCCTCCCATTTGTCCTGTTCCACCCTTTCGACCCACAGAGAGCACCCAAGGCATCT